AGGATGAGTCACTGAAAAATGCATTTGAATAGGTCCAGTCAATCGACGGGCAGCTTCTCCAACCTGCACGACCGCTCACTTATCCTTTTTTGTTATTTTAAAAGATAAGTTGTATCGAGTGACACAAGACACTCAGATAAAGCAAGATACAACTCAGTTGTTAGTTCCGAAGAGCTGTCGGGAAATACTTTTCCAGGCAGCTCACTGTAACCCTATGGCAGGGCATTTGGGACAGGCAGCAACCTTAAATCATTTAATGACCCGATTTTTCTGCCCGGGCATTCACAAGAATGTGCGCAGGTGGTGTGCCGCTTGTCGTGGCAAGTGGCAAGGACCGTTCGAGGTCACACAACGAGTTGAGATCTCAATAATGAGGTGGTTAGATCGGATAGGAACGGGGCACATCAAATATATCACCTCAACCTCCTAAAAAAAATGTAGTGAGGCTGAGTCAGTGAGGTTGGCAACGACAGTAACGGGAGAGGAGGATCTTCAGCCAGAAGTGAGTACCAAAATCCAATCTTTCGCTCAGGCCCCGGGAGGAGACCACCTCTTGGCGTTGCAACTCACTGACATAGCCAGGTTGCAAGCAAATTTTGCAGACGTGTTCTCGCCCCTACCCGGTCGAACGAATCTCAGTCAGCACCACATTGAGACGGATCCGGGGGTCGTGGTACGCAGCCGGCCATATCGCTTACCTGAACACAAAAAAAAGGCAGTTCAGATGGATTAAGAGGCAATACTAGAAATGGGGGTAATAGAAGAATCCTACAGTAATTGGGCGAGCCCGATAGCTTTAGTCCCTAAAACCGACGACTCGTGCGATTCTTTGTGGATGATCGCAAGGCCTATCCAATGCTGCGGGTTGACTAGCTCCTTGATCAACTAGGCAATCCGAATAAGTGTGCGATTGGGCATGTGGAGGTCAGGGCTTCCACTTGGGTCACGGGCAGGTGCGTCCCCAAATTAGTAAGGGATTTACCGAGACCCAAGACCAAAAAGGGGGTGAGGCAGTTCCTGGGGCTGGCGGGATATTATAGAAGGTTTGTACCTAATTCTTCGGACCTCACCAGCCCGCTGACTGACCTCACCAGCCCGCTGACTGACCTCACTAAAAAGGAAGCTTCAGATCCCGTCCAGTGGACGCAGTCGTGTCTGCAGGCTTTCACCCAGGTGAAGGCTGCTCTGTGTGGCGGGCCGCTGTTACACTCCCTTGACTTTTCTCTCTCCTTTATGCTGCAGACTGACAGGGGGCTTGGAGCGGTCCTGGGCCAGGAGTTAGAGGGAGAGGAACGGCCGCTGCTGTACATCACTCGCAAGCTCTCTAAGAGAGAGACGAAGTACAGCACCATCGAGAAGGCATGCTTGGCGATCAGATGGACCGTTCTCACCCTCCGCTACTATCTCCTGGGATGGGAATTCACTCTCTGTTCGGACCACGCCCCCCTACAGTGGCTCCACCGCATGAAGGATACTAACTCGCGGATCACCCGTTGGTGATCTAGCCTTAAGTTCAAGGTGGTCCACAGACCGGGGCGCAGATGGCTGTGGCTGACTTCCACTCCAGAAATGGATGGCTCCCCGGCCTGAGTCGGGCGGTGGGGTTATGTGGTGAGGCGGGCGTGGTTCAGCGAGGTCTGCAACGGGAGAGAGAGCCTGACAACGAGCGGTGTGTAAGTAGGACAAGTGCATAAGGACAAACACCTGTGTCTCGTTGCAGTAACTGGCCCGGAGAGATCGCTTAAAGCCACTGAGGAACAGTGGCTGGGAGAGAGGAGACAGACTGAGGATTCGTGGGTGCAGTGAATGCTCTGGTGAATTTTTGTGAACGTTCTATTAACGTTACTAGGAGAGCGTTTGTTCATTGCTTAGAGAGAACCTTGCCAGAACATTATGACCATATGCAACATAGAAAGTTTATATTTTTGGTATAATAAATAATGAAATGCATGTACGAGTCTTCAGAAGTTGAAGGTGTCGGTGAAGCGGATGGTTTTCGGGATGTAGGAGCGTCTCACTGAAGGGTCGCAGTAGTTGATGCTCCTGTACTTCGCTGTTTCTCCTGTTGAAGGATGACATGCGTTCTCCTCATTCATTCCTGGAAGGGAAACCTGTCTGTCGGAAGCACCGACATCTGAGGAGAAATGAAGATCCTCGTCCTGTTCTCCATCAGGGCGTCGTGATGAGCTCAGGCTGACCGAGAGCGGCTCGTCGTCCGGGAGAGTTTCGGTTGAGAAACGGGTGTTTAAAGCGAGACTTCGCTCTTCTAAACGCATTTCTGAAGGCTCTTCTAAACGCATTTCTAAAGGCTCTTCTGAACACATTTCTGAACGCCTTTCTGAAGGCTCTCCTGAAGTCTCTTCTGAACGCATTTCTGAACGCATTTCTGAAGTCTCTTCTGAACGCATTTCTGAACGCATTTCTGAACGCATTTCTGAAAGCTCTTCTGAACGCATTTCTGAAGGCTCTTCTGAACGCATTTCTGAACTCTCTTCTGAACGCATTTCTGAAGGCTCCTCTGAACACATTTCTGAACGCATTTCTGAAGGCTCTTCTGAACGCATTTCTGAACGCATTTCTGAACGCATTTCTGAAAGCTCTTCTGAACGCATTTCTGAAGGCTCTTCTAAACGCATTTCTGAACTCTCTTCTGAACGCATTTCTGAAGGCTCCTCTGAACACATTTCTGAACGCATTTCTGAAGGCTCTCCTGAACGCATTTCTGAAGGCTCTCCTGAATGCATTTCTGAAGGCTCTTCTGAAGTATCTTCTGAACACATTTCTGAACGCATTTTTGAACGCATTTCTGAAAGCTCTTCTGAACGCATTTCTGAACGCATTTCTGAACGCATTTCTGAAAGCTCTTCTGAACGCATTTCTGAAGGCTCTCCTGAAGTATCTTCTGAATGCATTTCTGAACGCATTTCTGAACGCATTTTTGAACGCATTTCTGAAAGCTCGTCTGAACGCATTTCTGAAGGCTCTTCTGAACGCTCTTCTGAACGCATTTCTGAACGTATTTCTGAACGCATTACTGAACGCATTTCTGAACGCTCTCCTGAACACTCTCCTGAACGCATTTCTGAACGTATTTCTGAACGCATTTCTGAACGCATTTTTGAACGCATTTCTGAACGCATTTCTGAACGCTCTCCTGAACGCTCTTCTGAACGCATTTCTGAACGCTCTCCTGAACGCTCTTCTTCTGAACGCATTTCTGAACGCTCTTTTGAACGCTCTTCTTCTGAACGCATTTCTGAAAGCTCTTCTGAACGCATTTCTGAACGCTCTTCTGAACGCATTTCTGAACGCTCTTCTGAACGTATTTCTGAACGCTCTTCTGAACGCATTTCTGAACGCATTTCTGAACGCTCTCCTGAACGCTCTTCTTCTGAACGCTCCTGCTTGTGTTCTGAGGTTGTGACTTGCGGCAGATCTCCTCTCGGCTCCTGTAGGACCTGTGTGTGCGTTTCTAAAGTCTCTCCCAGAGGTTTCATCGAGTAAGTCCAAACCTCAGGATTCAGGAGCCGTCTCTCTCTTATCTCTGGGCTGAAGGCCTCACTCAGGTCCTGTGCTCCTCTTTGACGTCTGTGTTGCTTCAATACATCAGGTGCATGATTTGATTTGCTGTTGCGTTTCTTAATCTTGTGTGTCGAATGGTTTAGAGTCTCGAACGCGTTGATGATGCTGCTTAACGTGCTTGTGTTTCGCGTGTGTGTTCGTTTCTTCACGTCCTTCTTCTCCGCCATTGCTGCAAATCTGTCCAGCAGCTCCTGAACCCGGGAGGCTTTTCTCTTCATCCCAGGTCTTGGATTGGCTCTCATCCCGTTCACGTCGATAATGTGACGTTCCCTGTTCTTCAGAGATCCCACTTCTCGTCTGCGGGAGACCAACGGCTTCTGTTCGCTCTTCAGAAACCTGGAGCGCAGGAGCTGGAAGGAGGAGAGACGAGGACCGGCTCGCGCTGGAGGAGAAGCTGGAGGATCCCGGGTCTGGAAAAGGAGAAGATCCTCCAGGATCATCCTGACCTCCGGAAGCGTTGAGCGATCCAGAATCAGTCGCTTCACGGCTCGCCGGTCCAGCGCCGAGACGACGGAGGACGACCAGCCGTCTCTCTGAGATCTGTGGAGTAAAAGTGTGTTTCTGTGGAGCCACATATTCTAGTAATCATCATCAGGTACCATTCGTAAAGCTTACACACCCGTTCTGAACATTGCACTACCATGAAAACGGTACTTTAAATCCGTCTAACAGCTCAATTAACTTCAAATTTGGAACACCACTTGGTTAGACGACATACAGCTTCGATTTTCTAGCGGTTTTAAAGGCCAAATTATTTTGTTGTTTAGTGTGTAAATGTTTAGTTCAGTGCATTTGCTTTACATAAAAAGTAAAAATTATAAGATACTAAGTCATTATGAGATAAAAAGGCAAAATAATAAGATAAGTCATAATAATGACAAAAAGTCGTACTTATGTAGTAAAAAGGTTACTGAATGCCAATTTTAATGTCAAATATAAAGTCAAGTACAACCTGAAGTACAACCCTTTAGGTTCAGATCTGTGATCAGAAAGAGCGGCGACAGCTAACAGGTTAATACATGTGACATCATCAGCTAGAGGAAAGGGCTGTGCACATTATCTAGAGTTGTTGATGAAGCCAATTAAAAGTCTTTAATTAAGATTCTGGGGAAAGTGTTTTATGTTCAGTGAGTCAGTGAAGGGAAGAGCTCATAAATAAGACTTCAAATGAATCTTTAATCTCTGAATGAATGAACTGAGCAGTGTCAGTCACTGGACTAGCCCCGCCCACCACCGCTCTGACCACACCCCTTCTCCCGTAAACTCCTTTAACTGGTATAATAAGACATATTTGATATGCTAATAAACAAGAGAAACCATTTTTATTAGATTTAATGATGTTTAAACAGCCAGCCGATCACAGTCAGAGAGTTTACAGCAGGGAAGAGTTTGGCGCCTCACTCAAGTAACTCAGATTTGTTAGATTGGGTTAGGTTTAATTTGTTCACATTGGTTAACTAATTCACTAACAATGGAAAATACTTCTAAAGCATTTATCTTATTAACTTCAGCATTTACTAATACATTAATAAAATCAAAAGTTGTATCTGTAAATATTATTTAGTGGACCGCATGCAGAAAGATAACTTTTATTACGTTAGTATATTTTCCAACACTGCATGTGTAGTATAATCATGTGTGTTTAACTCTAGGCGTGTGACGGACAGACTCGTCCAGCTTTACTTCTCTACTGACGCCGCTCGGTACAGCTGGCCTCCCAGATCCTCCAGTTTCTCCCTTTTGTCCAGATCCTGATAGAGTCCGACTGGAACCGGACTGATTCCGTAGAGCAAACCGAACAGAGATCCGGCGATCAGACCCGTCGCACTGCCCTCGCCTGCAAGACACGGGTCAGTGAACCTCTAAAGCTGCTGCCCTGAGGGATTCTGGGTAATAACTGATGTACATTCTGGCTATTACTTATTACATTCATTTAAGCCTCTGGTGCTCTTCGGTCACTTTTGACCGAAATTTTTTAATTGGAATGATATGAAACTTGGTAAAGGTTTTTGCACTCGCTGTGTGAACACAAACAAAAAATAATGGACATGATCTGAACCGGTTAAATGGTCCTGAAAACATCAGTCACGCTTGTGCTGCTCGCGCATTGGAAATGAGTGAGAGTTTCCTCTAGTGGAAGCGTTTGGAACTGCAGCCGAACACACTCTCACTGACGCTCATTTACTGAGAGATCAGCCTCAAATATTGAACACAACTTGTTTAGATTTATGGCTTTGATTTTCTCACATTTTTAGAGTAAAAAATGCTTTTGAAAATGTATATTTCATAAAAAAAATAAAAATAGTGTTTTTGCACATTTTTCATAACAATATGGAAAAATGTGAAAAGCGCTATATAAATGTAACAAATTAATTCATTATTATAATAAAAGTAAAATTCTGTAACTTTTTTTAAGTTCACTTTTTAAAACTTTTTCACTTCAGCAATAATCTGCCGGGTGTCGTCTTTGAGAAGAGATCAAACTTCAGTGGTAAAGCCACAGTTTACCACAGTTTACGCTGGAAATTAAATGTTCAGGTCTATGCTCAAAAAGTGAATAAATGGATTATAAATACAGCGTAAATATAATTTAGTGCCATAAAATCCCCTAAAAATACAAAATATGAAATAAAAAACATTATCGAACTACAATAGTACATTAATTTCATTAAAATAAAATATAAAATGTCTGTGATTTGCGCGACACGCGAGAGCACCGAGGCTTAAGGCCGCATGTGAAGCCCTGAGCCTGAGCTCTGTGCGCCGCGAGTCGAGACGCGCCTGACCTGCGTGGAACACGGCCCGCTTACACAGCTCGTCCCAGCTGGAGCCGGCGCCGAGCAGAGCGTCGTACGCGATCATGGGGGCGTCGTGACCCCTGCGACCCGGGCAGCCTTCAGAACTCCAGCGCTTGTACATCTGCACACACACACACACACATCAGTACTAGAACATTTGAACACACACACACATCAGTACTGGAACATCTGAACACACACACACACACATCAGTACTAGAACATCTGAACACACACACACACACACACACATCAGTACTAGAACATCTGAACACACACACACACACACACACACACACACACACGCATCAGTACTAGAACATCTGCACACACACACACACACACACACACACACACACACACACAGCTATCATAATTATGATTTTTCTTATTGTGATTAATCCAGATGTGTGTGTGTTTGACCTTGTCTGTCTCTTCTGCGTCGTATCGCTCCGGGATCGTGGCTTTCCTCTCTCCGTCTTCGATCCCTCTCTCCTCCAGATAAAACTGCCACTTGGCCTCGAAGTAAAACCACTTCTCCTGGTATTCTGGACAGCAGGAAACACTCATCAGACCAGTGGCGGAGAGCGCATTACAAGTAACTTTACTGTACACTACTGCACTCTACTGTACTCTACTGTACTCTACTGTACTCTACTGTACTCTACTGTACTCTACTGTACTATACTGCACTCTACTGCACTCTACTGCGCTCTACTGTACTCTACTGTCCTCTTCTGCACTCTACTGTACTCTACTGCACTCTACTGTACACTACTGCACTCTACTGTCCTCTACTGTACACTACTGTCCTCTACTGCACTCTACTGTACACTACTGTACTCTACTGCACTCTACTGTCCTCTACTGTACACTACTGTACTCTACTGTACTCTACTGTCCTCTACTGTACACTACTGTCCTCTACTGCACTCTACTGTCCTCTACTGTACACTACTGTACTCTACTGTACTCTACTGTACTCTACTGTCCTCTACTGTACTCTACTGTACTCTACTGTACTATACTGCACTCTACTGCACTCTACTGCGCTCTACTGTACTCTACTGTCCTCTTCTGCACTCTACTGTACTCTACTGCACTCTACTGTCCTCTACTGTCCTCTACTGCACTCTACTGTCCTCTACTGTCCTCTACTGTACACTACTGTCCTCTACTGTCCTCTTCTGCACTCTACTGTACTCTACTGCACTCTACTGTCCTCTACTGTCCTCTACTGTACACTACTGTCCTCTTCTGCACTCTACTGTACTCTACTGCACTCTACTGTCCTTTACTGTACACTACTGTCCTCTACTGTACTCTACTGCACTCTACTGTCCTCTACTGTACACTACTGTCCTCTACTGTCCTCTTCTGCACTCTACTGTACTCTACTGCACTCTACTGTACACTACTGTCCTCTACTGTCCTCTACTGTACACTACTGTCCTCTTCTGCACTCTACTGTACTCTACTGCACTCTACTGTACACTACTGTACTCTACTGTACTCTACTGTCCTCTTCTGCACTCTACTGTCCTCTTCTGCACTCTACTGTACTCTACTGCACTCTACTGTACTCTACTGCACTCTACTGTCCTCTACTGTACACTACTGTACTCTACTGCACTCTACTGTACTCTACTGCACTCTACTGTACACTACTGTACTCTACTGTACTCTACTGTCCTCTTCTGCACTCTACTGTCCTCTTCTGCACTCTACTGTACTCTACTGCTCTCTACTGCACTCTACTGTCCTCTACTGTACACTACTGTCCTCTACTGTACACTACTGTACTCTACTGCACTCTACTGTCCTCTACTGTACACTACTGTCCTCTACTGTACTCTACTGTACTCTACTGTACTCTACTGCACTCTACTGTCCTCTACTGTACACTACTGTCCTCTACTGTACTCTACTGCACTCTACTGTCCTCTACTGTACTCTACTGCACTCTACTGTACTCTACTGTACACTACTGTACTCTACTGTACTCTACTGTCCTCTTCTGCACTCTACTGTCCTCTTCTGCACTCTACTGTACTCTACTGTACACTACTGTACTCTACTGTACTCTACTGCACTCTACTGTACACTACTGTACTCTACTGTACTCTACTGTACTCTACTGCACTCTACTGTCCTCTACTGTACTCTACTGCACTCTACTGTACTCTACTGTACACTACTGTACTCTACTGTACTCTACTGCACTCTACTGTCCTCTACTGTACTCTACTGCACTCTACTGTCCTCTACTGTCCTCTTCTGCACTCTACTGTCCTCTACTGTACTCTACTGCACTCTACTGTACTCTACTGTACACTACTGTCCTCTACTGTACTCTACTGCACTCTACTGTCCTCTACTGTACTCTACTGCACTCTACTGTACTCTACTGTACACTACTGTACTCTACTGTACTCTACTGTCCTCTTCTGCACTCTACTGTCCTCTTCTGCACTCTACTGTACTCTACTGTACACTACTGTACTCTACTGTCCTCTTCTGCACTCTACTGTACTCTACTGCACTCTACTGTACACTACTGCACTCTACTGTCCTCTACTGTACACTACTGTCCTCTACTGCACTCTACTGTCCTCTACTGTACACTACTGTACTCTACTGTACTCTACTGTACTCTACTGTCCTCTACTGTACTCTACTGTACTCTACTGTACTATACTGCACTCTACTGCACTCTACTGCGCTCTACTGTACTCTACTGTCCTCTTCTGCACTCTACTGTACTCTACTGCACTCTACTGTCCTCTACTGTCCTCTACTGCACTCTACTGTCCTCTACTGTCCTCTACTGTACACTACTGTCCTCTACTGTCCTCTTCTGCACTCTACTGTACTCTACTGCACTCTACTGTCCTCTACTGTCCTCTACTGTACACTACTGTCCTCTTCTGCACTCTACTGTACTCTACTGCACTCTACTGTCCTTTACTGTACACTACTGTCCTCTACTGTACTCTACTGCACTCTACTGTCCTCTACTGTACACTACTGTCCTCTACTGTCCTCTTCTGCACTCTACTGTACTCTACTGCACTCTACTGTACACTACTGTCCTCTACTGTCCTCTACTGTACACTACTGTCCTCTTCTGCACTCTACTGTACTCTACTGCACTCTACTGTACACTACTGTACTCTACTGTACTCTACTGTCCTCTTCTGCACTCTACTGTCCTCTTCTGCACTCTACTGTACTCTACTGCACTCTACTGTACTCTACTGCACTCTACTGTCCTCTACTGTACACTACTGTACTCTACTGCACTCTACTGTACTCTACTGCACTCTACTGTACACTACTGTACTCTACTGTACTCTACTGTCCTCTTCTGCACTCTACTGTCCTCTTCTGCACTCTACTGTACTCTACTGCTCTCTACTGCACTCTACTGTCCTCTACTGTACACTACTGTCCTCTACTGTACACTACTGTACTCTACTGCACTCTACTGTCCTCTACTGTACACTACTGTCCTCTACTGTACTCTACTGTACTCTACTGTACTCTACTGCACTCTACTGTCCTCTACTGTACACTACTGTCCTCTACTGTACTCTACTGCACTCTACTGTCCTCTACTGTACTCTACTGCACTCTACTGTACTCTACTGTACACTACTGTACTCTACTGTACTCTACTGTCCTCTTCTGCACTCTACTGTCCTCTTCTGCACTCTACTGTACTCTACTGTACACTACTGTACTCTACTGTACTCTACTGCACTCTACTGTACACTACTGTACTCTACTGTACTCTACTGTCCTCTTCTGCACTCTACTGTACACTACTGTACTCTACTGTACTCTACTGCACTCTACTGTACACTACTGTACTCTACTGTACACTACTGTACTCTACTGCACTCTACTGTACTCTACTGCACTATACTGTACACTACTGTACTCTACTGTACACTACTGTACTCTACTGTCCCCTACTGTACTCTACTGCACTCTACTGTACTCTACTGCACTCTACTGTACACTACTGTACTCTACTGCACTCTACTGTACACTACTGTACTCTACTGTCCTCTACTGTACTCTACTGCACTCCACTGTACTCTACTGCACTCTACTGTACACTACTGTACTCTACTGTACTCTACTGCACTCTACTGTACTCTACTGCACTCTACTGTACACTACTGTACTCTACTGTACACTACTGTACTCTACTGTCCTCTACTGTACTCTACTGCACTCTACTGTACACTACTGTACTCTACTGTACACTACTGTACTCTACTGTACTCTACTGTACTCTACTGCACTCTACTGTACACTACTGTACTCTACTGTACTCTACTGCACTCTACTGTACTCTACTGCACTCTACTGTACACTACTGTACTCTACTGTACTCTACTGCACTCTACTGTACACCACTGTACTCTACTGTACTCTACTGTCCTCTACTGTCCTCTACTGTACTCTACTGCACTCTACTGTCCTCTACTGTACTCTACTGCACTCTACTGTCCTCTTCTGCACTCTACTGTACTCTACTGCACTCTACTGTACACTACTGTACTCTACTGTACACTACTGTACTCTTCTGTACTCTACTGTACACTACTGTCCTCTTCTGCACTCTACTGTCCTCTTCTGCACTCTACTGTACTCTACTGCACTCTACTGTACACTACTGTACTCTACTGTACTCTACTGTACACTACTGTACACTGCTGCACTCTACTGTACTCTACTGTACACTACTGCACACTGCTGTACTCTACTGTACTCTACTGTACACTACTGCACACTGCTGTACTCTACTGTTCTCTACTGTACTCTACTGTTCTCTACTGCACTCTACTGTACTCTACTGCACACTACTGTACTCTACTGTACACTACTGTACTCTACTGTACTCTACTGTACACTACTGTACACTGCTGCACTCTACTGTACTCTACTGTACACTACTGCACACTGCTGCACTCTACTGTACTCTACTGTACACTACTGCACACTGCTGTACTCTACTGTTCTCTACTGTACTCTACTGTTCTCTACTGCACTCTACTGTACTCTACTGCACACTACCGTACTCTACTGTACACTACTGTTCTCTACTGTACTCCACTGTTCGCTACGGTACTCTACTGTACACTACTGTACACTACTGTTCTCTACTGTACTCTACTGTTCTCTACTGTACTCTACTGTACTCTACTGTACTCCACTGTTCGCTACGGTACTCTACTGCACACTACCGTACTCTACTGTACACTACTGTTCTCTACTGTACTCCACTGTTCGCTACGGTACTCTACTGTACACTACTGTACTCTACTGTACACTACTGTTCTCTACTGTACTCTACTGTTCTCTACTGTACTCTACTGTACTCTACTGTACTCCACTGTTCGCTACGGTACTCTACTGTACACTACTGTACTCTACTGTACACTACTGTTCTCTACTGTACTCTACTGTTCTCTACTGTACTCTACTGTACTCTACTGTACTCCACTGTTCGCTACGGTACTCTACTGTTCTCCACTGTATTCTACTGTATTCTACTGTACTCTACTGTACTCTACGGTACTCTACTGTTCTCCACTGTATTCTACTGTATTCTACTGTACTCTACTGTACTCTACGGTACTCTACTGTTCTCCACTGTATTCTACTGTATTCTACTGTACTCCACTGTATTCTACTGTTCTCTACTGTATTCTACTGTACTCCACATCTTCTGTACACTTTTGGTATGAAAGGGCCTTAACGTTTGCAAAAATTATAACTTTTTTAGTTGTTATTAAAAAACAAACAAGCAAGCCCAGCCCAGGTCAGCTGAGAAAAAGTAATGCAAAAGTAATATAACGCATTATTTTTCATAAAAAGTAACTAAGTAACGCAATATTGTAATGCATTACTTTTCAAAGTAACTTCCCCAACCCTGATCAAGTGTTCTCCGTGTTGCTCTCGCGTCTCACCTGCCATGTGTCGGATGGTTTTCCTGCAGTATTCCTCGGCTCTGGGAATCAGGGTCAAGAGGTCGCGACCCCAGCTCTGCAGAGGTCTGCCCTGGATAGCGAATGAAGCGAAGAGAGCGGTGCAGAGAGAGCCCAGGAACCCTGCGCACAGAACACACACACACACACACACACACACACACACACACACACACACACACACCCGCACACACACACACATCAGTGAAGGAGTGAGGGACGCTGGTCCTTGTGAGGTCATGCTCACCTGTAGGTTTGGGAAGCGATGACTTGAGGCCAGGAATCGGATACTTCTTATAAAATTTAAATTTCGATTCCTCTTATCGATTCCTTTGTGAGCATTTCAATATGAGTTTTCAAGCGTGAGACTCTGTGTTCAGTGCAGGCGTGAGTAACTATAGAGCAGCTCTTAAAGTGACAGCGCTGATATTCCTGCTGCCGTCTCTATAATAACACTAATCACACAACACAACACAGAGAAGATTCACTCGTTCTTCACTGAATAACTAAGTATATTTGTAATGTATATTTTATTTATAAAGTGCAGTGTTATTGTACATTTGATTACAGTTTCTGAACCTGAATAACTAAAAATCTTAAAACACTGTTTATTTCAATCGTGTCTTTGTTTAGTTGTATCTACCCATTGCGATTGCTAATTTTTTATCTGTTCTTTTTTAATTACTGAGTGTTTATTGTCTTTAATAATGCTTGAAATGTATATTAGTTCGGCTAGTTGCTTTCTATGGTGTTTTTAAACCACAGGCAAAGTGTTCTTTAGCCTGTTGATTTCTGTTTATGATATTCAGCTACAATTAAATGTTTTGCAATAAGACTAAATGTGAATGATATGTAAGTTTTTTTTTTCCTAATTGGAATCGGAATTAGGAATCGATAAGCAGAATGGTAATGGTTGAGCGACTGAAGCGCTGCGCACCGATGGGGTGATTGTGGGTCATGCGGCCCGTCTCGACGCTGACCTCCACCAGCGTGTCCAGCCGCTCCGGCTGCCAGTAGCGCATCCCCACACACATGGCTTTAGTCGCCGCTCCGTGACCCGACCCTGCAGGAGCAACAGAAGCAGATCTGACCCCGCGCTTCTGCACACACACACATCGCAGCCTCCCTCGGCAGCTTCACCACAAACGCTTTTTTAAATGTAGTGTTCATCAGAGGGGTCCAAGACCCCAGGACTTTTTTCGCACTTGAACCACGAATACACACAAATTTTTTTATGGATTTGAGGAGTGTTGTGGTTGAAATAAAAAAAAGTAACAAATCGGGTCAATCTGAGCCCCTTAGGAATAAGTGGAATGCTTCAGTACACACAGACAAACCTAAAAATGCTAAAACTTTACCAATAAAGACTGTATAATGTGTAGATGTGTGTGTGAGCGCACACTGAAGAGAAACTGGCTTTAGGACCCAGCGGTACAGCTCCTCTGCTCCATATAGAGCTATAAGCCCATCTAGAGGCATCAAATATCATGTGTTATTATTATATTCCACAAGAGGTCAAAGACTCCCAGTGTAAGATATTTAGAGCTGAATTAAAAGGGTTATGCATGAAATTGTGAGTTATTTTGAAAGAATGTGAGGAATGTGCTTAAATTACTATTAATTTATTATTTATTGATCAAATCTAGTAATTTAAAGGCAAATAAAAATAAAAAATAACCAAAAATCTCCCCCCAAAAATTAAAAAATATAAATAATATTATCAAAATGAAATAAAATATCCTTTCTGGACAAAAAAAAGAAAAAAGTGTAATTCCAGGGCTGTGTGTCAGGATGAGTCACGGAGCGCGAGGATGATGAGGCTGATGTTGTGTGTGTGTGTGTGAGTGAGTGAGTGTGTGAGTGTGTGTGTGTTGGCGAACCCTTCTCGTTGAACGGCGTGTGCCAGGCTAACAGGAAGTTGTTGGGCTTGAGGTTTGCGCATCCCTGAGCGGTGCTGGGCCCCGGGGCCCGACCCTGCAGACACACCATGGCCTCCACATAGAGCCGCACCAGCTCCCGGTACAGATCCTCCAGACACCAGTAATCTGAGGACACACACACACACTCGATCAAATCCCACGGCTGCTGGAGCACGACTGGCATCCGCAGCGGTAGTCATGTGTCAGGACTAGTTTAGCCGTGATTAACCGCAGCTGATTACAGTGTGTGTGTGTGTGTGGATGGAAGGCATTCGAGCGCATTAGGGCTCCTCAGGGGCCGTGACAGCAAACAGATGAAGGCCACACACACACACACACACACACACACACTCTCCTGTCTCCATGAACTGAAGCTCAATTAGCCACTGATTAACTTCTGCAGACTCGGCATTATCGATACATGACACTGACAGTGTTGTGTAACGCATTACTAGTAACTCGAGTTATGTAATCAGATTACTTTTTCAAGTAACTAGTGAAGTAACACATTACTTTTAAATTTACAACAATATATCTGAGTTACTTTTTTTAAATAAGTAGCGCAAGTTACTTTGCTTTCCCAAGGACTGACAGCTCCCCTGTCCTCATGCTGAGAGAAACCGTGTGTGTGAGTGTGTGAGTGTGTGTGTGTGTGTGTGTGTGTGTGTGTGTAAACAGGATGGTTAGTGTAGTTCTAGACTAAATGTGAGCATTGACTAATCTCACTTGCACAAAAAAAGAGTCAGTATTCCTCAAAATGAAAAGTCAGTGAAATGCAAAATCAGAAAACTAAACAAACCTCCAATAATTAATGTTAAATAAAACAAATATTTTAATGCATTTAATCTCACTTTATTGACCAATGCACTTGCTTCTGTCCTTCCATGATTCAGTAAACCATAAGCAGAAATGACTTTAGATTTTTAGTTTTTATTGGTGGTGTTGCACGTTCCTCTCCTGTATTCTTCAGTTCTGCAGAACAGCTGAAAGGTTTGTTCTTAAAAAGTAATTGAGTAACGCAATTAGTAACTGTTTAAGGGAGTAACGCAATGTTGTAATGCTTTACTTTCACAGTAACTTTCAGCCCTGAAGCGGAGAATCTCATGAGTGGCTCATATTTCACTGCAGAACACTATAGAAGTGAGATTGAGCAAGTGACCCCTCCCTCAACTTCTGACTCAACCAATCACATGTGGTGTTAGGGGCGGGGCTATCTGACTGACTGACGTGTGATGAGATTGAGCAAGTGACCCCTCCCTCAACTTCTGATCAGCATAACGGCAAATTATAGAAATATGCATTATTATTGACCCACGTATTTGTTTCTGATCTTGTTTTTATTGGAGAAGTGTTGAACGCATGCGCTCCTGCGTATTCTTGTTTGAGCGGCGCATCTTACACACGTACATATGCATTTCCTTCAACCTTAGTATTTCAATTTTGGTGAGTAAAGGCCTTTACATTTGCCCAAAAATATCACTTTTTTGTTATAAAAAAAAAAGTAACTAAGTAATGCAATTAGTAACTTTTTAACCCTTTAACTGTCTCCCCCTTATAGACATACAAATCACTAGAATGCTTTGGAATATAAACCTGTGGTTGGTCTTGTTTTAAAGAAGACATTTGCCAGATTATTGTAGAAGTGAAATGAAAGTGAAACAGAACAAAAGTTTGAGTATGAAAATGTACAATGTAAAAATATAATTATTTATATTTTATATAAAATACACTCACCTAAAGGATTATTAGGAACACCATACTAATACTGTGTTTGACCCCCTTTCGCCTTCAGAACTGCCTTAATTCTACGTGGCATTGATTCAACAAGGTGCAGAAAGCATTCTTTAGAAATGTTGGCCCATATTGATAGGATAGCATCTTGCAGTTGATGGAGATTTGTGGGATGCACATCCAGGGCACGAAGCTCCCGTTCCACCACATCCCAAAGATGCTCTATTGGGTTGAGATCTGGTGACTGTGGGGGCCATTTTAGTACAGTGAACTCATTGTCATGTTCAAGAAACCAATTTGAAATGATTCGAGCTTTGTGACATGGTGCATTATCCTGCTGGAAGTAGCCATCAGAGGATGGGTACATGGTGGCCATAAAGGGATGGACATGGTCAGAAACAATGCTCAGGTAGGCCGTGGCATTTAAACGATGCCCAATTGGCACTAAGGGGCCTAAAGTGTGCCAGGAAAACATCCCCCACACCATTACACCACCACCACCAGCCTGCACAGTGGTAACAAGGCATGATGGATCCATGTTCTCATTCTGTTTACGCCAAATTCTGACTCTGACATCTGAATGTCTCAACAGAAATCGAGACTCATCAGACCAGGCAACATTTTTCCAGTCTTCAACTGTCCAATTTTGGTGAGCTCTTGCAAATTGTAGCCTCTTTTTCCTATTTGTAGTGGAGATGAGTGGTACCCGGTGGGGTCTTCTGCTGTTGTAGCCCATCCGCCTCAAGGTTGTGCGTGTTGTGGCTTCACAAATGCTTTGCTGCATACCTCGGTTGTAACGAGTGGTTATTTCAGTCAAAGTTGCTCTTCTATCAGCTTGAATCAGTCGGCCCATTCTCCTCTGACCTCTAGCATCAACAAGGCATTTTCGCCCACAGAACTGCCGCTCACTGGATGTTTTTCCCTTTTCACACCATTCTTTGTAAACCCTCGAAATGGTTGTGCGTGAAAATCCCAGTAACTGAGCAGATTGTGAAATACTCAGACCGGCCCGTCTGGCACCAACAACCATGCCACGCTCAAAATTGCTTAAATCACCTTTCTTTCCCATTCTTGACATTCAGTTTGGAGTTCAGGAGATTGTCTTGACCAGGACCACACCCCTAAATGCATTGAAGCAACTGCCATGTGATTGGTTGATTAGATAATTGCATTAATGAGAAATTGAACAGGTGTTCCTAATAATCCTTTAGGTGAGTGTATATATTACGAAATATATTTTACTCTAAAACTGAAAGAAAATGAAAGCCAAAAATCTGAACAAGTTTTAGGTTGACATCTCAATAAATGAGCTTCAGAGAGATTTAATTTGGGCGCAATAACTTTTTCACTAGAAGATGGACAGCCAGACTCCATTAGTGACCACATGCGGGCGCCTCCATTTCCATATGTCTTTTGAGTGATCTGAACCATTTTCATACAATTTATGAAGTAGACATCCTATTCAGAAGTAGTATGGATGGTTTGGCAGTATTTGATTTGAATTCAACCTCTAATAAACGCGTTAAAAGAGCACATATGTGCGTTAAAGCTCGCGCCGCGTCACTAATCGATAATCCATAATACTTTTCTTTATATTTAAAACATTTTCAGACCTTTTTTTCCTCATAAAATTGAATTGTTGTTATCTTTTGAACTCTTGGCATGAAAACAAACTGAAGTTTCTACCAATCTTTCATGTTTATAGCTATTTCAAAATAAAGGCCTAAACACGTCTAATGAATATTAAATATTCTTGTTGCAAATTGATAAATTACTGCTCCTCTGTAATCTATTTGGAAAAAAACAGCCACCGAATATGAAAACTAGAGATTGTAAGCTTTCAAATGATACAGAGTTAGTCAATATTACTTTAGGTTTTTACTAAGATATTATTGTTTTACAAATATAATGGCAACCAGGAACGCAATATTATGCGTTAGTTTTCAAAGCGACTCTGATATAAGACGGGCTGTTTATCTGGGTTAGTCTCAGGGAACTTCTCAGAACATTCTGGAAAAGTTATGAATAAACAAACGCTAATAGACTGTTTTTGTGAAAGGGTTATTTGCGGTTGGACCTCAGGCTCCCGGTGGATCTTCCCTGAAGCCCGTCACGACAGTCCTGTCCCGGAGATTATCGCGTGTCACGGACGGCCAGCTCTATTCTGGGTCTGTTATCAGGTGTGTGTGTGTGTGTGTGTGTGTGAGTGAGTCATGCAGAGGAAAGATCGCTCGCTGTATTATAATCAATCCGCATTTCAGAGGGATTCCACATGCATTCATCCCTATTCCGAGAGCAAACACTAGAGAGAGAGAGAGAGAGAGAGAGAGAGAGAGAGAGAGAGAGAGAGAGAGAGAGAGAGAGAGAGAGAGAGAGAGAGAGAGAGAGAGAGATGTGTGTGTGAGATTACACACGGCACATTTATAGACTTCTCTCACTGACGAGGGGAGAAAACAATGCAATAATGCAATAATTTAAAGCATTGTGTGTCAGAAACATAGTTATTGTTTGTTCATGTTAGTTCACAGTGCATTAACTAACTTTTCATATTACTATGTGAAGATTAACTTTAGTTTAGTTCATTGTTAGTTCACGTTAACTAGTTTATTTAACAAATGAAAGTTTTCCCGAATTAATTCTCTTGAAGTAATTAGTGACACGGATCAGGAGTTTGGGGTCAGAGTCTCTTCTGCTCACCAAGACTGCGTTTACTTGATCAACAATACAGAAAGAACAAGAATATTGTTTTCTATTTTAATGTACTTTAAAATATCATTTATTCCTGTGATCAAAGCAGAATTTTCGGCATCATTACTCCAGTCTTCAGTGTCACATGATCCTTCAGAAATCACTCTAATATGATGATCTGATGATCAAGACACATTTATGATTAATATCAGTGTTGAACAGTGTACAATTTTATTTCAGGATTCTTTGATGAATAGAAAGTTCAAAAGAACAGCATTTATCTGAAACAGAATCTTCCGTAACATTACAAATGTCACTTTTGATCGATGTAATGCATCTTTGCTGAATAGAAGTATTGTTTCTGAGTGTGTGTGTGTGTGTGTGTGTGTGTGTGTGCGCGTGTGCGAGTCCCACCGGTCACCAGGGCCTCAGCTGTGGTCATGTGCATCAGGACCCCGTCGCTGAGGGGCCAGTGCTCCGGCTCCAGCTTCAGCTTCTCCAGGCCCCCGAGGGCCGCCAGCTCCTCCTGGATCCGCGTCCCCGAGGTGTTCGCTTCCCAGCGCAGGCCCAGCGCGTCTCCCAGTCCTCCCAGAACCATGGCAGCCCGGAACTTCTCCATGAGCCGACAGCATCAAATCAAGCTCCGCAAATCTGGATGTGACCTTGCTCCCGCTGAGCTGTGTGTGTGTGTGTGAGAGAGAGGGTGTGTGAGAGAGAGATAGAGAGATGTGTGTGTGAGTGTGTGTGTGTGAGAGAGAGTGTGTGAGAGAGAGAGTGTGTGAGAGAGGGTGTGTGAGAGAGAGATAGAGAGATGTGTGTGTGAGTGTGTGTGTGTGAGAGAGAGAGTGTGAGAAAGAGAGAGATAGAGAGATGTGTGTGTGTGTGTGTGTGTGTGTGTGTGTGTGTGTATGTGTGTGAGGTTCATCATCTGAACTCGCTCCGGACTTTATCAGTGGCTCTGAGCTGAGATCAGGGTCTCCTAAAAAGGCAAGAGCTTCAGTCCCACACACACACACACGCCAGAGACTCGGATCACAGACACACACACACACACACACACACACACACACACACACACACACACACTTCACTCTCTCTGCTCCTGCTCTTATCATCACTGACGGTTATTCTCATTAGAATGAAATCAGTTGCTCTGCCTTTTCAGTTCGACTCCGGTAAGTAACACACACTTCTTGCAAATCTCTCTTCAGTTTAGATGGTCAAAAGTTTGGAGTAACTACAATGTAATTATGTACAAGGCTGTGTTTATTTGATCCACAATAAAACAGTGAAATATTATTGTAGTGCCTTCCAGTAAGTCACTTCGGACGCCTCAGGGGTTTCAATAGATTGTTCGTTTTATTCCAGCATAGTATTTGATTCTCTCGATAAATAAACCAACAAGTAAATAAATTGAAAACCATATGCCTGCTGGCGTCCATGCATTTCCAACGTCCAAAACACAGTTCAACCAGAATCCTCCTTTGTCTGCCTTAATGCCACTAATTGGCACAGGTGTGCAAATTTAACTCCTTCTGTTCCAAGACCGTAAGATCATGATTCACCAGCAGGGGTCATTAAATTAACTTCAACATAAATGTCAGAAATGGCTCCTACAATTATTCTAATGTAAATCATCTGTTTTCTATGTGAATATACAGTAAAGTGTAATTTATTCCTGTGATCAAAGCTGAATGTTCAGCACCATTGCTCCAGTCTTTATGTCACATGATCCTTCAGAAATCACTCTAATATGAGGATCTGATGATCAAGACACATTTATGATTATTATCAGTGTTGATCAGTTTTCCTGCTTCAGATTTTTGGGGGAAATGGTGATACACTGCTGTTCAAGTGTGATAAAAAACACATTTAATTGATAAAAATGTACATTTATGTTACAAAAGATTCTATTTCAAATAAATGTTGTTCTTTTGAACTATTCATCAAATAATTCTAAAAATTAAAATGTATATCAGTTTCCCCCAAAAATGTGAAGCAGCAAAACTGATCAACACTGATAATAATCATAAATGTCTCTTGAGCATCAGATCTTCATATTAGAGTGATTTCTGGATGTATTTCTGGAATGACTTCTTTCAGAAACGTTCGACCTGAAGTTTATTGTACGTTGATGATGATGATGATGATGTGTATTTGGAGATTCACCAGACTTGAGCCAAAGCATGAATATGAAATTGGCTAAAGATAATATGACAGTGCAGAACGAGTTTTGTTAAATAATCTTTATTTACATGCAGAGAAACAGTGTGTGATGAGATGAACTGAATGTCACACACACACACACAGAGCGGAGGAAACAAACTGTGTTAGACAACTTTGACAGCATAGAAACTGGTCCAGACGAACACTGAGTGTGTGTGTGTGTGTGTGTGTGTGTGTGCTGATTTAATATCACAGACGCTTGTAAACAAATGAAACATGTGAAGGAACAGGATCATCAGTGTTTGTTCGTGTGGTTCCTCTCAGAAACTCTCGAGCCTGAAGGATCACGCAGATATTCTGACAGAACTCACACACACGACACATCTCAAACACACACACATTTGGCCGTCGACGTCACGTGACTAAACGAGCTCGTCGTCCTCTTACTGCAGTTCTGCACAGCCGACTTATGGAAGCTCACACTCTCACACCGAATAAAACAACAATGGCAACTTATCTCACAGTTCTGACTGCTTTTATCTTCTTTTTTGTCATTTTCGCAATTGTAAGAAAAAGTCTGAATGGCAATAAACTCGCAATTGTGAGAAAAAAGTAAAAATAAATTCGCAACTACAAAAAAAGTCTGAACTGTAATAAACTCGCAATTTAAAAAAAGCCAGAATTGCACGTAATGAACGGGATTGTGTGATAAAATAGTAACATATTCCACAGTGGCCTATTTCAGTCTTCTGTAGTGGAGACATGGCCCTGTGTGGTGCATCATGGGATGTGCTGTTGCCTGATGGGAAAACACACTGGTGTACGAGTGCAGACTGGTTCCAGGTGCAGTGTGAAGGCTCTCTCTGCGGTTAAAGATATATATATATATATGTAAATCCTTTCGTTGTAAAAGAGTCCGTGTGAGAGGCTCGGCCTCCCTGCAAGCGCTCATTATAGAGTCAGGTGACCCTGTGACGTCACGATCGGCCGCGCGAACTCCACGAAGTCGTCGATGAGCACCGGCCACGCTCCTGAAACCAACACACTCTGCATTAGCTCAGCAGTCGCACACCGAACACGCTTACACACACACACACACACACACACACACACACACACACACACACACACACACCGACGGCTCAATAACAGGGTTCACACACACACACACACACACACACACACACACACACGGTACAATGTAATTCCAGGACTTTAAGCACTACTTCTACAATCAGAGATCTCACCTATCATACAATATCTTTATTATCTTCCAACTTCTAAAAATAAAAGTAAATATATAAATATTAATAAACTAATAAAACAAAATGGTACTAATAAAGTGCAGCACATGCAGTGACTGTGGAAACTTTAACGTTTGAAAGGATATAATCTCAAAGATAGTTTCCTTATTCAAACTGATTATTTTTCTCATGAATATTTGATTGATGAAGATTAAAGCTGTATCATATACTGGGATATTTATATGAGCAATATTACACTCATAGCCATGAGAAATGCCTGTATATCAGACGGGCTGCAGTGTTGACAAAATATTGACTCAAAATTGACCCTTTAAATTCCTATTACTGTGAACAATTCATCAGTGCTAATTATTATAACAAGTATATAAAATATAGAGACGTTTCATCATCCAATCGCATCCGTTGATAAAATCAAGTTTAATCAAGAATATCCAGCTTTTATGGAAGCTCGTTTCCGCCATGGAATAAAAAAAGTTATAAACTGGCAATTGCGAGAAATAAACTCAGCATTGCGAGATAAAAAGTCCTACTAAACACCTTTTTTATTTTATATTCCATGGCAGAAACTAACCCAAGCTTCCACAAGTGTGTGTGTGTGTGTGTGTCGGGCCGGCTCACCCTCCTCGTCGTAGTTGGACATGTCGTCGGCGATCACGTTCCCGAAGTCCAGCAGCAGATTCCACGTGTCTTTAGAGATCGGCTTCTTATGATGCTCCTTTACACACACACACACACACACACACACACAAGCAAAACCGTCATCACAGCACACACAGCACCACTGACACACACACACACACACAAGCAAAACCGTCATCACAGCACACACAGCACCACTGACACACACACACACACACACACACAAGCAGAACCGTCATCACAACACACACAGCACCACTGACACACACACACACACAAGCAGAACCGTCACACAACACACACAGCATCCCTGACACACACACACACACACACGCAGAACCGTCATCACAACACACACAGCACCACTGACACACACACACACACACACAAGCAAAACCGTCATCACAGCACACACAGCACCACTGACACACACACACACACACACAAGCAGAACCGTCATCACAGCACACACAGCACCACTGACACACACACACACACAAGCAGAACCGTCATCACAACACACACAGCACCACTGACACACACACACACACAAGCAGAACCGTCACACAACACACACAGCATCCCTGACACACACACACACACACACGCAGAACCGTCATCACAACACACACAGCACCACTGACACACACACACACCCGTGCAGCGATACAAGTGTGTGTTTACATAATAAATGTGTGTGTAATTATTATATTATATATGCATGTATATATTTTAGAAAAACGTTATTTATATAAAAAATATTGATATTTATATATAATATAAAGTATGTATAAATATATACACATGCAAATACTTCTTAAATATATACATGCATGCGTGTGTGTATATATACAAAATAATTATACACAGCACACACACACACACATATATTATGTAAACTTTTACTTTGGCTGTGATTATCGTCGCACTGGTTTAGTTCAGTGTGCAGTGGAGATCCCGTTATGTTTGATTATATATATTGATATATAGATTATAGTCATGTGACGCACCAGGAGGAAGGTGTTCCAGAGCTGCAGGAACTTGAAGCGTCCGGTGAGAACGAGGTTCCAGTAGGCCAGGGCCATCTCCAGATCTGAGACAGAGAGGATCATGGGTCACTGCACGGGTCATCACACACAGATGTTCACTACGCCGGCCGCTCACCTAAAGCCTTCTGACCCGGGCTCTTGGCGAAGGTAAACGTGAACTGATAGAAGTCCCTGAACTTCCCAGAATCCTTCAGCTCCTGCTCTAGTCTGGGTAGAAGACTCTTCAGCTTCTCGGGACTGTCGCATCTACACAAAGAGCACTTTAGAGTCAGCATCTGCACACTCCCCTCGAAGGGTTAAAGACACTCTCCAGCGCGGCCAATCACAGTAAAGGGTTCGTTCACCAATAATGAAGAGTCGTTCATCTTCGCAACACAAATTAAGATATTTCTGATTAAATCTGAGAGCTGGATCACTCCTCCATAGGCTTCTGTGGGATCGAAACTTGCCGGCCCAGAAAGTTATGAAAGACATCGTTAACCTCTTAACCGTCTCCAGAGCGTCGGCGCACTGAAGCGTTTTTTTATTTATTTAGTTCAAATATACTATCAGATTTAATGTTATACCTTGACAAACTATACATCATTAAAAAGATATAAGACTCAAGATTCAGTATTTGACCACTATTGTATTCTGAGAAACTTATAGTGACAGTTATGTCTTAATTTGTGTCAGGAGTTATGAAATTAAAAAATGAGTCGTTACCTTTAATATGAATTATGAGCCTCAGCCGGTCTCATTCAGAAAAAAACTCCCGTGCGATCGTCATGACAGCGCTTGACAAAACAACGTCCCTCAGGGCTTTTAGCTCAAACATGTGCAGATTTGGAGAAATATTGATAGATTCTCATAGCTTTACATTAGACTTCTATAGACAGGAATAATATTTATTGAATTTATACCCAAATGCGTCGATGTAATCATTTTGAGCGCTGTATACTCTGTACTGTGTTATCAATTCATCCTGAAAGTGAGGGCGCTGTTTGAACAGAAGTCCATAATATATGGATCACATGAAGAAGAGCCATAATCATGTGACATTCAGGAAGTCCTGCCACAACAAAGCTATCCGAGATCGCTGTAAAGTGCAGATAAAGATGTTTTGAAGACAATAAACATGATTGCAATGATATTTGATTTACCTGTGTTCTTCGAGTCATGTCAGGTATTTTCATAATAATTGATTATATGTATAATGTAATGCTAATCGAGATAGACTTTCAAATTGTGCAGAATACAATAAAATAATATATTTTCTATCTGATTTTTTTATCTGAAGCCAAATCAGATTACAGAAAGTTATTTAAAACACTCGACTTGCGCTATAAAGTAAGTTTGGAGAACAAACATAGTTTTATTCTCATAAATTGTCGTGTATTGATGGTGTGCTAAGCTAACATGCTAGCTAGTACTGAGCACCTGCTACCTTACTTCGGTGTAATTTTTATGATTTTTTTCTAAATAAGAATGCTTACTGAAATGTTTCGTTTTTCAAAAAGGGCATTTGATACAGTTTCACTGTGAAGTGAGAACTTTTATAAAATAAATGAGGGATTGAAACAGTGTGAATTGCTAGTCGTTAGTGATTATAATGCAGACAAAAGAAAAGCATATTTAGAGCAATAAACTGGCTGGAGAGGTGTGAATATGTGCAGGGGAGACTGAGACTGAATGGGGCTCGTTTTTGCATCACAAAACAATAGAGGCAATAGACTGAATAGATGCTTATAAGAAAACAATAAACACCAGTCTAATCAAAATAAAGTCATATGACATGATCTTGAAAAACATTGAACTAAATACAGAGTTTTAGACTTATCATCTTCAAATTTTAAATATAACATGGCCAGACATGTGGCTTTAGCTGCAGTGCATTTCTAGATTGCTACAATGCCAACTTCAATTTTATTTTCATGAAGATGTTTCATAAAAATAAATGTATAATAACTTTACAAAACTTTGAAGCTATTTATAACTATTTTTTTCATTATGATAATAATTAATTCTACATTTACAATAAACTTCCAGGTGACAGCTTTCAAATGAGATCTTACTTGTGCTTTTAGTACAAAGGGTTCATGAACTGTATCTGTTTCAGTTTGGGAATGCCATATCTGGGGATTTTTCAAAAATGGGCTTGAAGCTTAACAGGTTAAAATAGTCCGAGTGACTCAATCTTAAGTTTATCAAGCGACGAGAATACTTTCTGTGCGCAAAAAAAAAGAACGTAGGCTCACTATTGGCCAGCATCACACACACATGACCAGCGTCGGCCAATAGTGAGCCTGCATGTGACGTACAGCCCAGTAGCGCTGCGCTGTTACACTACGCGAACTCACTCAGGCCCACAGAGAAGGACATGAAGAGTTGAATAAAGTCGTTATTTTTGGGGGGTTTTGCGCACAGAAAGTATCTCGTCGCTTGATAAACTTAAGGTTGAGTCACTCGGACTATTTTAACGATGTCTTCCATAACTTTCTGGGCCGGTTTGAACATAAAAGGCTAAAAGTTTTTGAAATTTTCAGTGTGTGTGTGTGTGTGTGTGTGTGTGAGGTAATCGGAGGTGCTAACACACACACACACACACACACACACACACACACACAAGCTCTTGAAGCTCCGCCCCCTGTGCCGGGAGCAGCAGCTCATTAGCATTTAAAGGGACACACACACACAAGCTCTTGTAGCTCCGCCCCCTGTGCCGGGAGCAGCAGCTCATTTGCATTTAAAGGGGGACACACACAAGCTCTTAAAGCTCCGCCCCCTGTGCCGGGAGCAGCAGCTCATTTGCATTTAAAGGGACACACACACAAAAACTATGCGTTTTTGCTCACCCTCAAAAAGTGACCATTTTAACATGCTATAAAACAATATCTGTGGGGTATTTTGAGCTAACACTTCACACACACACTCTGGGGACATCAGAGACTTATTTAAAGGTATAGCGGAGGATTTTCTTTTTCCGGGTGGGTAGCCTATACTATTGGTCCACCTAATGGCGCTTTTCCACTACACAGTACCAGCTCGCCTCGGCTCGGCTTTGTTTGGTTTTCCACTGTGTAAAAGTTGTACCTGTACCTGCTTTCGGGTACTTTTTTTCGTACCACCTCCGGCGAGGTTCTAAGCGAGCTGAGGCGAGCTAAGGCGATACTAAAATGTGACGTGAAAACAATGCCGACTGCTGATTGGTCAGAGAGAATCGTCACTATTCACTGCGTCATCATTGCACGCGCCAGATGGAGTATCCAGAATAACTCCGCCATTTTTAAATAGTTTGGCCAGAGATAGTTACTAAACTTACTACTATTATTATGGCAACTCGGAAGAATACGCCGTGGTCAAACGAGGAGGTGTAGACATTTCTTTGTTTAGTTGCCGAAGAGAGGATCCAGTGAGAGCTTGATGGGGCAACGAGGAATGAAAGGCATCGCTATGACGACCGGGTACTATTTGTGGCGGTACTTACTTTCTGCAATGGAAAACGGAGCGAAAAGCGAGCCAAGGCGAGTCGAGTCGGTACTGGTAATGGAAAAGCGCCATAAGTGTCAATCATTCTGGTGATATGTTTACGTAAGGCCGTCGTACGTGCTCGTCCCTATGTGGTTTTCGCTTTCTGCGCATGCGCACTTTCAGGTGTATTATGTGTGATGAGTTACGGTTTCAGCCATTCCTTTGAAAATGGCTGAGGGTCGAAAGAGAAAAAATGTATACGAAGTGTATGATAAGAAGAGAAAGGCCGCAGAATATAGAAACAAGACCAGAGTGATTTTGGGTGAATATTTCACACGCTGGCGTGCGCTAAAAGCACAGCTTGGGCTTCCCACTGATGCCGCAGTCGCGAAGATCCTACTAGACAGGTAAAGTTTGTCAGGCTATTTGGAGAAATCCATTTAAAATCACTGCTAGTAAAAGTTAAATAGGCGTTCCCTCTCGGGAGCAAATAGAGTGTTGCGCATGTGCATTTTTAAAAAAATTGGAGAGATAAAATACGGAAAGATCCTCCGCTATACCTTTAACATCTCGTGAAAAGGGCATTATACCACCCCTTTAATTTTGCGTGAAAAGATTGTATTTGTGTTTTATCTGAAAAATTAAACACTGAGTGATCTCATATATTTTGTCTTTCAATAATTCACCTTTTAATAAATGTTTTTTTTTTTTCTAGGGTTTTCCAGGCCTTCAATTTCAAAAAGTCAAACTCAAGCTCCTTGTACGAAACCCTGTGCTGCTTTTCATCTCGCAACTCTTGAGACGATCTCGCAACTGCACGACATAAAGCCAGAATTGCGCGATAAAGACGCAGTGCTTGTTTGTGTACGGATAAAGCCGAGGCGTCTCACCCCAGATCCGACATGCCGTCCAGGAACTCTTCGCGACTGAACTCGCACTGCGTCGCCGCTCTGAACTTCCACGCTACGATTAGCACGCCGACGCTAGCGGGATCCAGAACCAGGTCGTCGCAGAACTGCTGGATTCCCTCGAGTCCGATCTTGTTCTCGTCGTGAGGATCTGCAGACAGAGACAGCAGCAGCAGCACAAATGAAGGAACACACACACACACACACACGGCGGCTCACCTTTATAGCGGTTGTAGAGCTGGTCCAGCTTCTTGCGGTCCATGGGCTCCCGGTGGTTCTGGAAGTGGTTGCTCGCGGTCGTGTCTCGTCTCCAGTCATTGTGGGTCAGGCAGAACAGAGCGGTTCTCTCTGCGGCCCGGGTGAAGGACATGACCTGGCGGATCTTCTCCTTCTGGGTCGACTTCAGCTTATGCTGGAGGAGCAACAACACCGTTAGCCTTAAAAATTCATAATACAGAATTATTTATCGCTTCTGCGTATCCATGCGAACTGGAATCATTCTGACAACGTTTATCAGTACAGAGCTGAAGAGGAGGAGGCCTTCAACAGCATTAGTTAGTCAGGCAAGTTCACCACCAGTATGTGGAATTTCAGTATGACTCGACAACTTCACAAGCATGTGCCAGATTACATTTATGCCAGAATACCAATTACTAGGTTAAAATCATTCCTATCCTATGAGGCCACGCGAGAGGGTTTGTGAATAACCCTGAAGCGACGCAACTAGGTCACGTGACAGTAAAATTGTATTCATATTACCCATATTCATCTATGAAAACATCCCGAAACAATTATGTAAATTGTAATTTTTCCATTCATCTATGTATGCCCACATGTTAGTGTTACTTATTCTGTATTAGGCCTATACATTTTAATACTGAATTTAAAAACAAAACAAAAAACGTGCTTTTTAACGGTCGTGAAGTTCAAATTAAAATGTATTAACGTTACCTAACGTTACTCAGTCAAGATTTAGCACACAGAGATTCTTATAATTGCTTGAAATAAGTAGGAATAGTGAGATTAAAAAGTCGGAATTACCGTTTTTAATTTATTATTTAACTTATTTCGTGGCGGAGTTAAGCTTCGATAAGGGTAAACTGGCATCACACTTGCAATTATGATTGTTTAAACACTAAAAAATTGATAATTAAACATAATAATGTAAGAATCTCCTGAACTAAACGTTAATCCCAACCTTATCATAACTCAGTGGTGTTACCATGGTACAGTGCTATAATACCATAGTATTTATTACCACATTCATTATCATCGTGATATTAACAGTGCATTACCATGGTACGTGTAGGTTTGAGTTTATGAAGAGCTCTGCGAGTGTCGGAACCGCGTGCAGGAGGGCGATCGGTTCCGGTGACCCGCTTTGATTCGGATCTCGCAAAACACCCTCTGTTTCCCTCATAAACGGACGCGCGGGAACAGCGTGAGAATAAGCGCAGAACGGGCGTCAAACATTACAGATAAACACAAACACTGCCCCCTGCGCGCTCACCTACCATCCTCATCTCCAGCTGTGCTGCCTGTGCGCATGCGCGGACACCAGCTGGCGCTAGGGGAACTCTGGGAAATGTAGTTTTTACACCTGCGCTGCTCTTGAAAACTCAAGCTATCTGAACTGGTTTGCAGAATGTCTAACCGTGCACAAACACGGCATTGATGTTAGCAAGCATTTAGAAGTTATTAATTGTGGATTATTTGTAATTACAAAAGTTTGATATTAGTAATTAACGTATGTGGCAAAATCATACAGCTAAACCTGTAAGTTTTCTATATTCAGTCATATACAGTGACTGACTCAGACAATTCTAGTCATTAGCTGCATTTCTATGGAAGAAAATTTCCGCCATATAGCCTAAGGGAAAATCGTGTAAGTCATTTATAACTTAAAAGGTAACAATTATGACATAAAAAGACAAAATTATGACTTCGATATGTCATTAAAAGTTGAAATTATGACAATTAAATTATTTTGACTTCATACTTTAAAATTGTATCTTATAATTATGACATAGCATGTCATAATGTTGATTTAGAATGTAATAATTTTAACTTTATCTCTTACTTTTGGTTTATTATGTCAATTAAGATTTAGCAGAGCATGATTTGTTTTTTTCCTTATGTGGCGGAAATGGTCTTATTTTGTCATGCGCGGTGCGGAAGGAAAACTACATTCCCCAGAATTCCACGCGCTGTTGTGATTCAGTTCTGTTTTCAGCGCTACTAACATGAAACACCGCTGAAAAACAAATCTTGACGGAACTGACAGCACACAAAAGCGCTTAATGTTCGTCGATCTTCCGCGAACTCTCGGTGAGGTGTAGTCTAGTATGAGCTCTACTCTCTCTCTCTCTCTCTCCCTCTCCGGTAAGTCGTTTACCTGCTCCGGGAGCCGAGCGAGCGCGGATCTCACCGTTCCGTCACCGGGTGTCCGTGCGCGAGCCGCGCGCCGCTGCTGTCCGGTGAGGTGCGCGCGCAGCATGTGGCGTCACAAGAGCGCGATTGTTTCCTCCGTTTACTGACGAGTTCTTGCGCTGAACTGCATCACAGTCACCAGGTATGAGTTACTTCTCTCTTTCTGTTTATTAGCGCTGATGTTATCTTGTAGAATGCCATGTAGAAAATGTACTTGAAGTGGATGACTGACAACCGTCAAGGTTACCTGAATAAATAATAATTATAACAATGACGCGTTTGATGGACAGATCAGATCACCCGCATAATTCTGAATATTATACAGTGATTTATAGTCACGCTCAGTCACGCGAAGTCAGTTGACATTGATCAGTTATTTAGTTAATTGATTTTTAAACAGCAACGTCATTATCGCTGTACGTCTGGATGCCAGGGTTATTATTATTATAGTTTGCTAAAACTAAAATCATAATAAAACACGTGCGTGACCTGAAAAAAAGTGTAATAAAATAAAACTTAAACGTATTTTATTTCAGATAGTTGCCAAGGCAATATTTCTCCGCTTCATTTACTTTAACTTGATGTACTAAAATAACTGAAATTAAAAAATACAAAAATGTATTAATTTAATTAATAAAAAAAACTATATAGACCTTTTTTCAACTAAAACAAATGTCGAAAACATGACAAAATTACTAAAGTTAAAATGGAAAATCTAAAAATAAAAACGAATTAAATATATTAAGAAAGACTATAAAAGTATTTTAACGATACTAAACACAAGTTTTAGGAAATAAACCCAACCATTACATCGCAGATCGCACTCCTTTTGATGTATGATTTTATCAATTATTTTTTTGGCAGAAGCTCCTCCCACTCCTGCATATTCCACTGTTGATAGCCAATCAGAATCCATCCTGCTTTAAAGAGCTCGAGCATTTAAAGCACAGGCGACAAAACTATATCGTACGTTAGTGTGGACGCTAATACATTAATCGCACGGTCTTTAAACAATGTGCTGCTATTTCTATAGACTTGAAAGAGTATAATAAAGTACATATTTTAAGTAAGCCTCTCATTCATTTCCCAACAGAAAACATGTACATCAAAATAGCTGCGTGTCATTGTGTGAGAAATCCACCCTGTTGTGCCACATTCCTTTATCAACATGTCATAAATATTCTCTGATGAGGTGAACTTTGTGTTTGTCTAATTCCACACTGATTCAGGGATGAAACGCTGAGGAATATGAGCCGTATCTCTGCAGGATGTGGGTGTGCTGGGCCGGTAAACACACTTCAGGGTTGTTTGTCTAGTTAGTGACTCACCTTCACGACTCTTTAGTGTTCATATGTCAGGTGAGTTGTTGAGTTTCATATCTAATGGCTCTTCAGTCATGTTTAAGAGTAATATAGTCTTACTGTCTGAGTTTATTGAGGGATTTATACAGTAAATGTGTTTCCACCGTAGTTTATGTGCAGGACTCACTTTATTTCCTCACAAGTCACATGAGTTTATGGAGGGATTTATTCAGGAAGGGATTTAATTCAGTCAAAATTATCATCAATTTAACACAATAATGATGTGACCGATAAATCATTTAGAATAAACACTGCAATATTCATAAAAAACAAACACTGAATTACTTTGAACAATGAGGATCTACATTTTTTTCCTTTTTCTTTTTATTATGGTTGTTATTTTTTACATTTGTGGATATGTGTATGTGTTATTGGTAGATGTTGTGGAAATTATCCTGTGGGTTGGTATGTGTGAGTGAATATATGTTGATTTATATGTGTTGTATGGTTTTGATATGACTTAAAGGGATAGTTCACCCAAAAATGAAAATTAGCCCATGATTTACTCACCCTAAAGTCATCCTAGGTGTATATGACATTCTTCTTTCAGACAAACACAATCAGAGTTATTCATCTGTCCATCATAAAAGTGCATCTGTCCATCATAAAAGTGCATCTGTCCATCATAAAAGTGCATCTGTCCATCATAAAAGTGCATCTGTCAATCATAAAAGTGCATCTGTCTATCATAAAAGTGCATCTATCCATCATAAAAGTGCATCTATCCATCATAAAAGTGCATCTGTCAATCATAAAAGTGAATCTTTCCATCATAAAAGTGCATCTGTCAATCATCAAAGTGCATCTTTCCATCATAAAAGTGCATCTGTCAATCATAAAAGTGCATCTATCCTCATAAAAGTGCTTCTATCCATCATAAAAGTGCATCTGTCAATCATTAAAAGTGCATCTATCTATCATTAAAAGTGCATCTATCCATCATAAAAGTGCATCTTTCCATCATAAAAGTGCATCTGTTTTTGTTTATTGTTTATTTATTTGGATCCCCATTAGCTGCCACTAATGTTGCAGCTACTCTTCCTGGGGTCCACATACAAAAACATACATAAAATACATAAAAACATAAATACGTAAAAACATACATAATCCAACCAACATTTAACATACAAGTTACACATAAATCTAAAACCGATACCTACAATACTTATGAAGAGTATCGTGTATACATAATAACGCAAGCTACCACCAAAACAGCATCATAACACACAAAACACAATTATACATCAAACCATTTATCTAAGCTCATCAATGTCTGTGTTATTATTCAAGTATTTTTTTAGTAGGCTTTTAAAGCCGGCCTTACTAGGGGTTTCAACAATATAAATTGGTAAATTATTCCACATTTTAATGGCTCTATACATTACAGATCTGCACACAGCATCAGTCCTGGGTTTTTTCAAAGCTAGACAACCCTTTGTAGAATGTCGAGTACTATGACTATGTTGGTTTCTCACATACTTTATTTTTGAGTACAGACAAGTAGGTTGTTTCTTATAACAGATATTCCTAAAAAAATTCATAAGGTTGCATGACAACCTCTCCTCCACTCTAAGCCAAGAGAGACTGGTATGCATACCGTCCATACTCACACCCCATGGACAGGCCAGTGCGAGTCTTGCAGCTTTATTTTGAGCTATTTGTAGCTTAAACAGATATTTTTTAGCCACACCTGACCAGACAGGTGAACAGTAATCAAGGTGGGATAAAACCAATGCCTGTGTCACCAGCACTCTAGTGGCAGGGGTAAGAAAAGGGGAACACCTTCTAATCCCAGATATTCCATTACCCATTTTCTTAACAATATTGTCAATATGTTTCTCCCAAGTTAACTGTCCATCCAATGTAACACCAAGCAAATTTACCTCTTCAACTTGTTCAATGTTCGAGTCTGTGAGTGATAGACAGAGCTGATTATCACCCTTACTGACATATCTAGACCTGAACAAGATACTTTTGGTTTTAGTTACATTTAAAACAAGTCTGTTTTCACAAATCCAGTTCACTACAAGTTGTAATTCTGATTGAAGTGTGTTTCTTAGTTCGCTTATACTAGCTGATGCAAAATGAACAGTTGTATCATCCGCAAATAAAGTCGCAGAGCACTTATTCAAAACATATGGCAAATCATTAATAAATATAGAGAAGAGTAACGGCCCAAGACAACTCCCCTGTGGCACTCCACACTGTAAAGTTTTAGGGAAGGAAAAACTACCATTAAAAAATACATACTGTTTCCTATTTAATAAATAGCTATTCATCCAATTTATGGCTAATGGACTAAACCCATAAGTAGCAAGCTTATTTAATAATAACCCATGGTCTACAATATCAAATGCAGCGCTAAAGTCAAGTAACACAGTTCCAACCATCATCTTGTTATCAATACAAGTCAACCATTTATCTGTCATGTCTGTCAGAGCTGTGCACGTAGAATGATCAGCCTTATATGCATGCTGACAATGAGAATTTAAGTCATTAAATACAAAATAATGTAGTATCTGCTCAAACACAACTTTTTCCAGTAACTTACTTAAAACTGGAAGAATACTGATGGGTCTGCTATTTGCAGCTGAGAAACTTTCCCGTTTATGATCTGTCAATCATAAAAGTGCATCTATCCTCATAAAAGTGCATCTATCCTCATAAAAGTGCATCTATCCATCATAAAAGTGCATCTTTCCATCATAAAAGTGCATCTGTCAATCATAAAAGTGCATCTATCCTCATAAAAGTGCATCTATCCTCATAAAAGTGCATCTATCCATCATAAAAGTGCATCTGTCAATCATAAAAGTGCATCTATCCATCATAAAAGTGCATCTATCCATCATAAAAGTGCATCTGTCAATCATAAAAGTGCATCTATCCATCATAAAAGTGCATCTGTCAATCATAAAAGTGCATCTATCCATCATAAAAGTGCATCTGTCCATCATAAAAGTGCATCTGTCAATCATAAAAGTGCATCTATCCATCATAAAAGTGCATCTGTCAATCATAAAAGTGCATCTATCCTCATAAAAGTGCTTCTATCCATCATAAAGGTGCATCTGTCAATCATAAAAGTGCATCTATCCATCATAAAAGTGCATCTGTCAATCATAAAAGTGCATCTATCCATCATAAAAGTGCATCTGTCAATTATAAAAGTGCATCTTTCCATCATAAAAGTGCATCTGTCAATCATAAAAGTGCATCTATCCTCATAAAAGTGCTTCTATCCATCATAAAAGTGCATCTGTCAATCATAAAAGTGCATCTATCCATCATAAAAGTGCATCTGTCCATCATAAAAGTGCATCTGTCCATCATAAAAGTGCATCTATCCTCATAAAAGTGCATCTATCCTCATAAAAGTGCATCTGTCAATCATAAATGTGCATCTATCCTCATAAAAGTGCATCTGTCAATCATAAATGTGCATCTATCCTCATAAAAGTGCATCTATCCATCATAAAAGTGCATCCATCCATAGATGGATGCACTTTTTTCAGTTTTGATTTCACGGTGACTGTAATAACCCTGCGATGATGTGATTCCAGCGTGGCGGATGCGAGGCGTGTGTGCAGTGCTGTGCTTCGGCCTGGTGGCGGCGCTGCAGGCTCAGCAGGGCCACCGAGCGCAGGTGTATGGACACCCGTGGGTGACGGAGAACTGCCGGCGGCTCTCCATGCTCCTCAGACACAAGCACTCGGCCGTGCGTAAGCTGGGCTCGGCGGCGCTGGTTCTGGAGCGGGACGGGTCGCTGGCGCCGAACGAGAAGCTGTTCCGCATCCACACGCTCGAGGTGTTCCAGCGCGAGCTCAACGAGAGCGAGCGCTCCCTCTTCCAGGCCGTGGAGGGCCTCCAGCGGGTGCTCACGGGGAACCTCCGAGACATCGTCAACATGAGGGACAGCAGCCGGCAGCGGCTCCAGGCGCTCAGGGAAGCCGCCATCAAGGTCAGCCACACTTGAGTTTCTTCCACGTCACAATATTCCTCATTTAAAAGAGTAGTTCACTTTAAAAAGAAAATTAGCCCATGATTTACTCTCCCTCAAGTCATCCTAGGTGTGTATAACTTTCTTCTTTCAGACGAATACAATCGGAGTTATATTAATAAACAGCCTGATGCTTCCGAGCTTTATAATGGCAGTGAATTGAAACCATCAGTTTGAAGCTCAAAAAAGTGCATCTGTCCATCATAAAAGTGCATCTATCCATGATAAACGAACTCCACAGGCTCCGAGGGCTTAATAAAGGCATTCTGAAGTGAAGCGAAATTAAATTTTGCATATTTTTTTCAAGTAGTGCAATTCAATAGGCTTTTTTGTTTCAAAAACATTTGCCATTATTTTACTTCCATACTTAAGCAACGACTTAAACATTTCAGCAGTCCGAGCTGTTGTTATATGAAGTATTCCAGAGATTAGGACCAGCCACTGAGAAGGCTCGCTCACCTTTATTTTTCAAGTCCTATTGAAATTGGTGATTTGTAACGTGTCATTTTTTCGCTGTAAGGTATCTGCACTTTTACTCAAGCGTGGGTTTCAGGTACTCTTTGCACGTGTGTGTTTGCAGGAGGAGCAGGAGTACATGGAGCTGGTGGCAGCGGAGAAACACCAGCAGGAGGCGCTGAAAGTGGCGCAAGACCGAAACAAAACCCTGTCCATGCTGGAAGAGATCCTGGAGGACGTGAGGAAAGCTGCGGACCGGCTGGAGGAGGACATCGAGGAGCACGCCTTCGACAACAACAAACAGGTGTGGAGAGTGCAAACACAGACGAGGAAAGAGAGTCACATGATGCAGCATGGTGTCCCCAGAATGTGTCTGTAAAATATCAGCTCAAAATACCAGATCATTTTTTATAGCTTGTCAAATTCACCTTGTTTGGGCGTGAGCAAAAACACGCCGTTTTTGTGTGTGTCCCTTTAAATGCAAATGAGCTTTGCTCCGCCTCCGTTCAGAAGAGGGCGGAGCCTTTACACAAGCTTCAGAGACTCTGGCAATAACAACACAGGCCAATCTCACTGATCCAGAATCAGGAGTAACAGCAGCGAGTGCAGCCTTACGGAGAGACTCAGGGAGAGCTTCACTTTTACACGTTTCTGAATGTTAGCGGAGACATTTCTGTAGTTGTTGTGGAGTTACACTGATCATCTCCTCATCATGTTGAACTCTTCCACAAGTGTCCACAGTTCCTGAGGTGTTTATAAGACAGCGCTGACATGTTCTGGTCAATAGTGTTCAGTGTCTTCTGTGCTCGACCACAGAACAGTTTCAGGCTTTGCTGGATCTTCTCCAGTGCGTTAGAACTGGTCTCTGTTGGCGCTCGCCGAACCGAATGTCGGCTGGTGTGTGTAAACGTGCAGATTAAGGGCCGGTGATATTATAATAAGATTCTCTTCATACGTCAGAAGGAGCGAAATCTAATCAGCTTATTTTTGACATGCTCTCAGAGAAAGACTCACCAGAACACAGTTACTGGGTTTCACTTTTCACGTTTTCTGTGTCGGTAGAAGCGTCCGATTATAGCACTTACACATGGAGAAACTCAGATTTTCATGATATGTCCCCTTTAATTGATTTAAAAACCCCTATTTTTGTCTCTGTCCAGATGAAGGGGGTGAACGTGGAGGCTGTCCTGAGGGTGGAGGAGGACGAGGAGGACGGGAAGAGGAAGAACGTGTCCATGCGTGTGGTCGAAGGCAATCTGGGGCTCGGCATGCTGATCGACTCCCAGAATAACCAGTATGTGCTGACCAAACCACGCGACTCCACCATGTCCCGCGCAGACCACCACTTCATCAAGGTGACCTCTGATCTCAGATTGTTGTGTTATTGAGTTGAGCTCTTCCACACAGATGGGAAATGATCAACAAAACCTTCAGTTATGCAGTTAAAGTCTCCCTGTAGTCAATCATTTTATCCCTTAAAGTGTGTGTGTGTGTGTGTGTTCTGCAGGATCTGGTGTTGGTGGTGATGATGTCTCTGCCGTGTGGATGGTTGTGTGCGCTGATGGGTCTGCCGCCCATGTTCGGTTACATCATCTGTGGGGTTCTGCTCGGCCCATCGGGACTCAACAGCATTAAAGTGAGCGCTGAGCATCTTCAGACACATGTGTGCACATCTAAACGTGTGTGTAATGCTGTGTTTCCTGCAGTCTATGGTTCAGGTGGAGACGTTGGGAGAGCTCGGCGTGTTCTTCACTCTCTTCGTGGTCGGGCTGGAGTTTTCACCTGAACGCCTCCACAAGGTAAAAACAGGTGTTTACCCTCGCGGGTTTGAGAAAAGAATGTATTGAAGCTGAAGGGTGGAGGAGTGTAAAGAGTCTCAGGGTAAAGTCCTGAAATGAGATCTCCAATCAGTCACTAGATTCTGTTTCCCACTTTAATAGGGACCCTCCTTATGTACAAACAGATAGATAGATAGATTGTAGGAATGAAATGTAATTTGTTCCACCACTAGATGGCGGATGGATGGATAGACAGCTCATGTGTTTTTATTGGTTAATGTTCGTTTGCTTTGATCTCCTGTGAAATTACAGATTCTAATTACAGATTCAGTGTGTGTTTGTTCATTGAGTCTTTAATGGGCTGATGGTTAGATGCACTCCCTGAGCGTCAGGTATCCTGAGCTCCTCATGGTGAAGCACACAGATGCTGCTGTTGTTGATCTTGTAGATGTGTTCAGGTGTGGAGGATCTCTCTGATGTTGATGTTGTTGATGTGTTCAGCTTTGGAGGATCTCTCTGATGTTGATGTTGTTGATGTGTTCAGGTGTGGAGGATCTCGCTGCAGGGCTCTGGGGGCCTCAGTCTGCTGATGGTGTCCGCTGGTCTGCTCTGGGGTAAGATGCTCCACCTTCAGCCCTCACAGACCGTCTTCATCTCCTGCTGTCTGTCTCTCTCCAGCACTCCACTAGTGTCTCGCTTCCTAGCCGGAGGATCCAGAGTTGAGTCCAAGGAGGGTGAGTGTGTGTGTGTGTGTGTGTGTGTTTGTTGGTCCATCCACTCACAGCTGTGGTGTGTGTATATATCAAGCTGCAACCTGCCTGTCTCTCTCTTGAATCCAACACTGAAGTGATGCAGTTCATCAACTGGCCACTAGAGACTGACTGCAAAAGAGAGTCAATCCCATAGACCCCCATGTTAAAATGCCCAACTTTACAGCAGGTGAGCTCAGGTGCATCCAGTTTCCACTGATCATCCTTGAGATGTTTCCACAACTTTATTGGAGTCCACCTGTGGTAAATTCAGTTGATGGAACATGATTTGGAAAGGCGCACACCTGTCTATTTAAGGCCCCACAGTTAACAGTGCATGTCAGAGCACAAACCGAGCCATGAAGTCCAAGGAGTTGTCTGTAGACCTCTGAGACAGGATTGTGTCGAGGCACAGATCTGGGGAAGGGTACAGAAACAGTTCTGCAACATTGAAGTTTCCAATGAGCACAGTGGCCTCCATCATCCGTAAATGGAAGAAGTGTGGAACCACCAGGCCTCTTCCTGGAGCTGAGCCATCGGGGGAGAAGGGCCTCAGTCAGGGAGGAGACCCAGAACCCGATGGTCACTCTCTCCACAGAGAAACGCTGGAGCTCTGTCAGAGGAGAACTAGTCTAGGAGAACTCCTTTCCCTCGACCCTTACTAGTCTCCCGGTTCCTCATCTTTACCTCGATCCTGACTAGTCTCCCGGTTCCTCATCTTTCCCTCGACTCCTGACTAGTCTCCCGGTTCCTCATCTATCCCTCGACCTTGACTAGTCTCCCGGTTCCTCATCTTTTCACTCGACCTTGACTAGTCTCCCGGTTCCTCATCTTTCCCTCGACCCTGACTAGTCTCCCAGTTCCTCATCTTTCCCTCGACCCTGACTAGTCTCCCGGTTCCTCATCTTTCCCTCGACCCTGACTAGTCTCCCGGTTCCTCATCTTTACCTCGATCCTGACAAGTCTCCCGGTTCCTCATCTTTACCTCGATCCTGACTAGTCTCCCGGTTCCTCATCTTTCCCTCGACCCTGACTAGTCTCCCGGTTCCTCATCTTTCCCTCGATCCTGACTAGTCTCCCGGTTCCTCATCTATCCCTCGACCTTGACTAGTCTCCCGGTTCCTCATCTTTCCCTCGATCCTGACTAGTCTCCCGGTTCCTCATCTTTCCCTCGGACTAGTCTCCCGGTTCCTCATCTTTACCTCGATCCTGACTAGTCTCCGGGTTCCTCATCTTTACCTCGATCCTGACTAGTCTCCCGGTTCCTCATCTTTCCCTCGACCTTGACTAGTCTCCCGGTTCCTCATCTTTCCCTCGACCTTGACTAGTCTCCCGGTTCCTCATCTTTCCCTCGATCCTGACTAGTCTCCCGGTTCCTCATCTATCCCTCGACCTTGACTAGTCTCCCGGTTCCTCATCTTTCCCTCGATCCTGACTAGTCTCCCGGTTCCTCATCTTTCCCTCGGACTAGTCTCCCGGTTCCTCATCTTTACCTCGATCCTGACTAGTCTCCCGGTTCCTCATCTTTACCTCGATCCTGACTAGTCTCCCGGTTCCTCATCTTTCCCTCGACCTTGACTAGTCTCCCGGTTCCTCATCTTTCCCTCGACCTTGACTAGTCTCCCGGTTCCTCATCTTTCCCTCGATCCTGACTAGTCTCCCGGTTCCTCATCTTTTCCTCGACTCCTGACTAGTCTCCCGGTTCCTCATCTTTTCCTCGACTCCTGACTAGTCTCCCGGTTCCTCATCTATCCCTCGACCTTGACTAGTCTCCCGGTTCCTCATCTTTCCCTCGACCTTGACTAGTCTCCCGGTTCCTCATCTTTCCCTCGACCTTGACTAGTCTCCCGGTTCCTCATCTTTCCCTCGACCCTGACTAGTCTCCCGGTTCCTCATCTTTCCCTCGACCTTGACTAGTCTCCCGGTTCCTCATCTTTACCTCGATCCTGACTCTCGATCCTGACTAGTCTCCCGGTTCCTCATCTATCCCTCGACCTTGACTAGTCTCCCGGTTCCTCATCTTTCCCTCGACCTTGACTAGTCTCCCGGTTCCTCATCTTTCCCTCGATCCTGACGAGTCTCTCAGTTCCTCATCTTTCCATCAATCCTTAAAATAATTCAAGGATTCACGTTTGATTATATTTATTGTAACACCACCTTTCATCGGTGTGTGTGTGTGTGCGTTGACAGGTGAGCTGGACTACAGCAGTGTTTTACTGGGAATGCTGGTCATGCAGGACGTGCAGCTCGGCCTGTTCATCGCCGTCATGCCCACATTCATTCAGGGAGGAACTGGAGACACGGACAGGTGAATCATTTTATTTATTTATTTTTATTATGCAGCAGTAACAAAGAAAAAATAAAAACAATACAAAACAGTAATGAACAATAACAGATAGGACAGGTGAATCACGGACCTCGCTGTGACACTGTAGAACTCGCGTCATATCAGTGTTGAAAACCGTTGTGCTGCTTCATATTTTTGTGGAAACCATACATTTTTTCATGAGTCTTTGATAAACGTAACAGCTTTAATTTGAAATAGAATCTTTTGTAACATTATAAACGTGACTCTTGATGAGCTGAAGTGTGTGTGTCCCAGTGTGCTGATGGGATTGATGAGCTGAAGTGTGTGTGTGTGTGTGTGTGTGTCCCAGTGTGCTGATGGGATTGATGAGCTGAAGTGTGTGTGTCCCAGGGCCAGTGTGCTCATGGGATTGATAAACTGAAGTGTGTGTGTGTGTGTGTCCCAGTGTGCTGATGGGAGCTCTGCATGTTCTGGTTCTGCTGGCTCGGGTTCTGGTGTCTCTGGCCGGTGTGCTGATGATGTGTTGGATCCTGCGCTCGCATCTGATTGGCCCGTTCTACAGGAAGCTGCACGCGGAGAGCAAAGGGAACAAGGAGATCCTAGTGCTGGGAACCAGTGCCTTCGTGTTCCTGATGCTGACGGTGAGTCTCACTCACTCACTCACTCACTCACTCACTCACTCACTCACTCACTCACACACTCACACACACACACACACACCTGAAGGGGTTTATTCTGAGATAACAACCGGCTGGATGTACATTATCCCGTTATTACACGGATACTTGCACATCAGTAAATAATTAGACACGAAATATTGATCTGAGTTGAAATATCTTATTAGGTCTTTAAACGCAAAGCTTCCGCGGACAGAGCAGTTTCAGCGGCGAGATCAGACTAGTCGGACATTTAAGAGATACGGTATACAGTCATTACACAGCATTTACCACATATAATTATGGAGATCAGAGATATTGATTCCAGATTAAACTGTTTTAAAATCGTTCCTGTTTGTATCTTATAATCCAACAGTGTACAAAACAATAGTCACAAAATGGCCGCTGCTGCGTTTTAATGAAACAAGAGAGAGCGAGTCCACGATTCTGGATGGCATAATTAAATAAATGTACACAAAATATTGATTTGACTGAGTTTTAATATTTTACTAGCCCGGATGTAAAACCGTTCCTAGCGAGTGTGTAGCGCTGATGTTGTCAGTGACCGGATGAGCCTGTGTTTCTGCTGTTATCTGGGAATAATGTAACGCTGGATGGAGCGATTGACCAATCAGAATCAAGAATTCCACAGAGCCGTGTAATAATCTGCGATATGTTCCAGGTGACCGAGTTCATGGACGTGTCGATGGAGTTGGGATGTTTCCTAGCAGGAGCGCTTCTCTCATCACAGGGTCACATGGTCACCGCTGAGGTCATGAGCTGCGCCGAACCAATCAGAGACTTCCTGGCCATCATCTTCTTCGCATCTATTGGTGAGCGGCCGGTCCTGGAGCCGAGAATTATGGGATATTAGCAGGAAATCGCAGAATCCGATCATAAATAAGCGGACTATATTGCTATCGAAGGCAGGTTTATAAATGCATAATCAAATGCAACCAAATTCTGATGGAAGTGTCTGGCGGCCGTGTGTGTGTGCGCCTGTGTGTGTGTGCGCGCGCATCTGTGTGTGTGTTTGTGTGTGCGCTTGTGTGTGTGTGTGCGTCTGTGTGTGTGGTTGTGTCTGTGTGTGTGTGCGCGCGCACGTCTGTGTGTGTGTGTGTGCGCTTGTGTGTGTGCGTCTGTGTGTGTTGTCCGCAGGGCTGCACGTGTTCCCGACCTTCGTCCTGTACGAGCTCACCATTCTGCTAGTCCTGACCTTCTCGCTGGTCATCATGAAGGTATTTTTGTTCGCATGACACTGATTTCCTGAACATGAGCATGATCATGAGTCTCGCTGTGGTTCTGTTCAGTTCCTGATGGCGGTTCTGGTTCTGTCGGCCGCGCTCCCGCCGGGCTCTCGGCACATGCGCTGGCTGGTGTCGGCAGGACTGGCTCAGGTCAGCGAGTTCTCCTTCGTCCTGGGCAGTCGCGCTCGCCGGGCCGGCATCATCTCTCGAGAGGTCAGTGTGTCCGCTACTCCCAGAATGCCCTGGTGTTTAAACCAGCATGAAAGGGCCGTCAACTAGTCTGGACAGGGTGTGCATGTGCGCCGTCAGCGCCTCACAGATTAGTGTTTTTGAAGTTTACATGGAGATGATCACGTTTTTCAAAATTTTTCAACGCTTGCACCTTGATCCTGTTTTAAAGTGTGTGTTCTCGAGCTCCAAACACTGATGTGCGAATGAACGGCCGGAACACATTAAAGTTTCTGTGTTCAGTAGAGCGGTGTCGTGTTAGCGGCCGCTAAGGTAATAACTAATGATCTTTACAATGAAAGTGAATCAATCAAAACTAACTTAATCTGGACAATAACTTTATTCTAGAGCTGCTGTAAAGCCAAACACTCTCTGTTACTGTAATCTCCTGTTATCACTGTAAAGCTGCTGTGGAACTCTATAGTGTTAAAGCGCTGTATAGATGAAGGAGACTGACTGGCGCTGGAGGAGAGAAGAGATGTCGCTGTTATTCTGAGTGCAGATTGTACAGTAATAGACCTTGCTCTCCTCCTCTTCCTCACAGGTGTATCTGCTGGTCCTCAGCGTCACCACACTCAGCCTCCTCCTGGCTCCGGTGTTGTGGAGAGCCGCTACGATCCGATGCATCCCGCGACCCGACCGGAAAACACTCACCTGAGACTCTCCAAACACTCACCTGAGACAAACACTCATCTGAGACAAACACTCATCTGAGACAAACACTCATCTGAGACAAACACTCATCTGAGACTCTCCAAACACTCACCTCTCCAAACACTCACCTGAGACTCTCCAAACACTCACCTGAGACAAACACTCATCTGAGACTCTCCAAACACTCACCTCTCCAAACACTCACCTGAGACTCTCCAAACACTCACCTGAGACAAACACTCATCTGAGACTCTCCAAACACTCACCTGAGACTCTCCAAACACTCACCTGAGACAAACACTCATCTGAGACTCTCCAAACACTCACCTCTCCAAACACTCACCTGAGACTCTCCAAACACTCACCTCTCCAAACACTCACCTGAGACTCTCCAAACACTCACCTCTCCAAACACTCACCTGAGACAAACACTCATCTGAGACTCTCCAAACACTCACCTCTCCAAACACTCACCTGAGACTCTCCAAACACTCACCTGAGACAAACACTCATCTGAGACTCTCCAAACACTCACCTGAGACAAACACTCATCTGAGACTCTCCAAACACTCACCTCTCCAAACACTCACCTGAGACTCTCCAAACACTCACCTCTCCAAACACTCACCTGAGACTCTCCAAACACTCACCTGAGACAAACACTCATCTGAGACTCTCCAAACACTCACCTCTCCAAACACTCACCTGAGACTCTCCAAACACTCACCTCTCCAAACACTCACCTGAGACTCTCCAAACACTCACCTCTCCAAACATTCACCTGAGACTCTCCAAACACTCACCTCTCCAAACACTCACCTGAGACTCTCCAAACACTCACCTGAGACTCTCCAAACACTCACCTGAGACTCTCCAAACACTCACCTGAGACTCTCCAAACACTCACCTGAGACAAACACTCATCTGAGACTCTCCAAACACTCACCTCTCCAAACACTCACCTGAGACTCTCCAAACACTCACCTCTCCAAACACTCACCTGAGACTCTCCAAACACTCACCTGAGACAAACACTCATCTGAGACTCTCCAAACACTCACCTGAGACAAACACTCATCTGAGACTCTCCAAACACTCACCTCTCCAAACACTCACCTGAGACTCTCCAAACACTCACCTCTCCAAACACTCACCTGAGACTCTCCAAACACTCACCTGAGACAAACACTCATCTGAGACTCTCCAAACACTCACCTCTCCAAACACTCACCTGAGACTCTCCAAACACTCACCTCTCCAAACACTCACCTGAGACTCTCCAAACACTCACCTCTCCAAACATTCACCTGAGACTCTCCAAACACTCACCTCTCCAAACACTCACCTGAGACTCTCCAAACACTCACCTGAGACTCTCCAAACACTCACCTGAGACTCTCCAAACACTCACCTGAGACAAACACTCATCTGAGACTCTCCAAACACTCACCTCTCCAAACACTCACCTGAGACTCTCCAAACACTCACCTCTCCAAACACTCACCTGAGACTCTCCAAACACTCACCTGAGACAAACACTCATCTGAGACTCTCCAAACACTCACCTCTCCAAACACTCACCTGAGACTCTCCAAACACTCACCTCTCCAAACACTCACCTGAGACTCTCCAAACACTCACCTCTCCAAACATTCACCTGAGACTCTCCAAACACTCACCTCTCCAAACACTCACCTGAGACTCTCCAAACACTCACCTGAGACTCTCCAAACACTCACCTGAGACTCTCCAAACACTCACCTGAGACTCTCCAAACACTCACCTGAGACAAACACTCATCTGAGACTCTCCAAACACTCACCTCTCCAAACACTCACCTGAGACTCTCCAAACACTCACCTCTCCAAACACTCACCTGAGACTCTCCAAACACTCACCTGAGACAAACACTCATCTGAGACTCTCCAAACACTCACCTGAGACAAACACTCATCTGAGACTCTCCAAACACTCACCTCTCCAAACACTCACCTGAGACTCTCCAAACACTCACCTCTCCAAACACTCACCTGAGACTCTCCAAACACTCACCTGAGACAAACACTCATCTGAGACTCTCCAAACACTCACCTCTCCAAACACTCACCTGAGACTCTCCAAACACTCACCTCTCCAAACACTCACCTGAGACTCTCCAAACACTCACCTCTCCAAACATTCACCTGAGACTCTCCAAACACTCACCTCTCCAAACACTCACCTGAGACTCTCCAAACACTCACCTGAGACTCTCCAAACACTCACCTGAGACTCTCCAAACACTCACCTGAGACTCTCCAAACACTCACCTGAGACAAACACTCATCTGAGACTCTCCAAACACTCACCTCTCCAAACACTCACCTGAGACTCTCCAAACACTCACCTCTCCAAACACTCACCTGAGACTCTCCAAACACTCACCTGAGACAAACACTCATCTGAGACTCTCCAAACACTCACCTCTCCAAACACTCACCTGAGACTCTCCAAACACTCACCTCTCCAAACACTCACCTGAGACTCTCCAAACACTCACCTCTCCAAACACTCACCTCTCCAAACATTCACCTGAGACTCTCCAAACACTCACCTCTCCAAACACTCACCTGAGACTCTCCAAACACTCACCTGAGACTCTCCAAACACTCACCTGAGACTCTCCAAACACTCACCTGAGACTCTCCAAACACTCACCTGAGACAAACACTCATCTGAGACTCTCCAAACACTCACCTCTCCAAACACTCACCTGAGACTCTCCAAACACTCACCTCTCCAAACACTCACCTGAGACTCTCCAAACACTCACCTGAGACAAACACTCATCTGAGACTCTCCAAACACTCACCTCTCCAAACACTCACCTGAGACTCTCCAAACACTCACCTCTCCAAACACTCACCTGAGACTCTCCAAACACTCACCTCTCCAAACATTCACCTGAGACTCTCCAAACACTCACCTCTCCAAACACTCACCTGAGACTCTCCAAACACTCACCTGAGACTCTCCAAACACTCACCTCTCCAAACACTCACCTGAGACTCTCCAAACACTCACCTCTCCAAACACTCACCTCTCCAAACACTCACCTGAGACTCTCCAAACACTCACCTGAGACTCTCCAAACACTCACCTGAGACTCTCCAAACACTCACCTGAGACTCTCCGGAGACGCTCACGGCAAACTAATGCATCATATTGATGCAGTGAGAAACACAAGGGCAGATGATCAAGTACAGCATTAAAGCATCAGTTCACTTCAGAATTAAAATCTCCTGATAATTTACTCTCCCACACGTCATCCAAGATGTTCATGTCTTTCTCTCTTCAGTCCAGAAGAAATTAAGGTTTTTGAGGAAAACACTCCAGGATTTTCTCCATATAGTGACTTCAATGGGGTCCAACGGGTCGAAGGTCCAGATTTGAGTTTCAGTGTGGCGCATCACAGCTCGTGCAAGACCAGCATTAGTGGTTATAAAAGTATATAAATGTGTATTTTGTTATAAATGTCCGCTGGTTTGTCTAGATCAGACTCTTATTCCTCGGCTGGATCGTGTCGAGACTCTGAAGCTGCACTGAAACTCACATCTGGACCTTCGACCCGTTGGACCCCATTGAAGTCACTATAAAATCCTGGAATGTTTTCCTCAAAAACATCTTGGATGACGTGTGGGAGAGTAAATTATCAGGAGATTTTAATTCTGAAGTGAACTACTCCTATAATATATTCACGCACAACTTTTCTAATGTGTCTTAATGTCTGCTATAATATGTTCTGTATGACCAAACGTTATTTATTTGTGTAATGCGTGCCTTGAAATGATCCGATGTGAAGCAGTTCTGTGTTAAACTCTTGCTCACGGTGGCGGTCTCACGTTACTCACAGATGAACTGAATTATGAATCATTCCTCGGGACTGTTGATTCTCTCTAGGAGCAAAACATACCATTAAAAACTTCACTTCAGTGTGTTTCTGCTTCTGGTGTGCAATGACTGAACCACAGGAGTTCAGCGTTCAGATAAAAAGTAAAAAAAGACATAGAAAGTCATAATATAAATTTTTGCTGTCATAATTTTGACTTTTTAATCTCATAATAATAACTTGGTATGTTAATAATTATGACTTTTTATCTCATAATTAAGTTTTAGTGTTATAATTTCAACTTTTTTATCTCATAATAATGACTTTGTATGTCATAATTACATTTTAAGATGCTAATTTTTACTGTCATTTCACCTTTTTAATCTCATAATTAAGACTTTTCTCATAATAATGGCAGTATGTTCATAGTTATGATTTTTGTATCTCATATGTATGACTTCTCTCATAATAATGATTACTAGTAAGTTATTATGAACTGAGTAAGTAATTATGAGACAAAAATTCATAATTATGAACATTATGTCAATTGAATTTTAATGTCATAATTTCAGTGTTTTAAATCTCATAATTATTCTGCATTTCATAATGACAGTATGTTCATAATTATGACTATCTTACATTTATGACTTAGTATGTCATAATTCAATTTCATATTTTTTAATCTCATAATTATGCCTTATCTCATAATAATTGACTTTTTCCCTCATATTTATGACTTGCGTTATATAATCTTAATTATATTTTTATGTCATAATTTTGACTCTTTTTTTGGTTGTTGTCATAATTAAGATTTACCAAAGCATGATTTGTTTTTTATTCTGTGGCAGAAACAGAAGCCAGGCGTAGCCTACACACACAGAGCCAACATTATGGTCAAACTTGTTTTAAAATGCCTTTCATCCAGCAGTGTAAATGTCAACCTGCATTTTAAAAATGCCATAATGTTGGATCTGTGTGTGTGTGTGTGTGTGTGTGAGAGTTACAGACATGTTTCCACATGCCTAATCCTGCCTTCACGTGCTCTCGGAAACTTCCCACTTCTGAAGTCGTGATTATGAGTTTGAGAAGGGCGTTCATGTCCAATGTTTAACTCGGAAACTAGTATCACGATAGTTCCGATAGCACGTGAAGACAGCAGAATAATACCAGACCACAGAGTCAGAGACTTTTAACCAGGTCAGTAACGACAGGGGCTCATTTGCGTGTTATTAACATACAGATAATTATCATTACATCCATAACTAAATTGAGCTTTGATTTATATACAGGCTTCTTGAGTAAAATTGATAGCTGAATAATTAACAACAAATGCAAAGTTCAGACCGAGTGGTGTGCGAGTCGCGAATGAATCATTCTGTTAATGATTCATTCGAATCGGTTCCCTAACCCTAAACACCTGACTGTGGCCTTATACAAGTTACTTACTATATTAACCATATCTTAACATGATCATATACAACTTATTAGGTTTCCTTCACACTGATAGAGCTTCCAGACTTTTTTTTTTTGCCATATCTTTTTTGCCAAATGTTAATAACACCGTTATAATAGTAAAAAAAAAAAATTTCAAACAAGCTTCATTAGCATGGCTGTGTATCACAATGTTGCCAATTGCCAAAGGATTAACATATTCCATGTTTAACTAGTAATGCTGCGTCCCAATTCGCATACTATCCGTCCTAAATAGTATTCGAAAATAGAATTAGTACGTCCCAAATCGTAGTGTGTTGAAATGAGTGTACCAAAGAGACCCGGATGGTCTACTATATCCGGTCAGAATCCGAAGTGCAGATCGATGCGCACTCTTAACGGCTGATATTGCCCACAACCCATCGCGCGTTGGACGAGGATTCGGTTAGAACTACAAACACGAATGAAAAGTGTTCAAAAACTACAGACATGGAGGACGCGCGAGTCCGACGGTTATGTAGAGAGGTTTAGATAAAGGGGTTTGAGTGATTAATTATCAGTATCTAACCTGACGAAAATGTATTTATTCAATGTTGTCCACATTATATTGCATCTGCAGCAGCATTGTGAACTTTTGCAAAGATACGTTTAGCCATTAACTTTTAAATGCATTATTATTCAAATTCCAAACACATGAGGAGAGTCTCCGCATGAAAGACCCATGACTGGCAGATGAACGTGCGACAACAATTCTCTCCGAAATGGTAAGAAGTTATATTAGATTGAATGGAGGATTTTAACTGTGACGAGATGATTGACAGGGCAGTTTACGGTGATAGGATGCACGCGACAGATCTGTCCGTTAAAGACGACGAAGTAGTATGTCCCAAAGCTTGCCTACTCTTTTGCTACACACTCAAAAGTATGTACTTTTTCTTCACAAAAAGAGTACATACTTTTAGGGCGTAGTATAAGTAGGCGAATTGGGACGCAGCATAACTGTGGCGAAAATCCTGGTTGTGATGACTCGAGTGAATCACTGATTCGTTTATGAACCGATTCGCTGAGAAGACTCGGGTTTCCCAGTGGAGTTGTGAATGCGCGCTGACGTCACACCGCGTGTATCCAATCAGGGCGCGCGCTCACGGGAGGCCGCCAAGCTCAGTTTGACTGACTGCTGTGTGTGTAATAGCTGAAGTAGCTCGCAGATAAACACACACTTTTATCAAACTAACTGTAAATATCCGCGCGAGATATGACGCGGATGTGAGCGGGATAGTTAAGGTAAGAGGAATCAGCGTATGTTAGGTAGTTTGCGTGTGTGTGTGAGGTAAGTGGAAGCGTTAGCTCGCTAGGTTAGGTTAGCTTAGCGTTAGCAGCGTCGAGCTAACGCGAACAACAGCGCTAGGATCGCGATGCGATGATGATTCGCGTCGCTCTCCGAACTGAAGCTGCTCATCCGAACAGCCCGTTTTTAAAAGTTTATAATCATGACATAAATACGTAGAAATTTTGACAGCCTCATTCAGATATGTAATAATTATAACTTTTCATGTGAATAAAACATAATTAAGATTTACTAAAGCATATTTCTCTAATGTGGTGGAAACGGACTTCCATACAATTGAGCTCAGAAAAGTGCAACTTCTTTTTGTTGTTGTTGTTTTGTTGTTTTCATAAATATTAATCTTAGTCCAATAAACATGGAGGTGAGTTAATTAAACATGCATTATGTAAGTTAATAATATCTGACTGCTGCTCACTGTAATCTTGAATCAGAATAACCTCCCTCACTGATGACGTGTTTACTGGCGCGAGGGCGGGGCTATAACCTGTCACTCACATGAGATCAGCCAATAGCAAACCACAACCATCCAATCAGTTCCCCACAGACACAATCAAGCCCCGCCCACGTGTTCTTGCTCCAGAAGCGCTTCACTCGATAAACGACACAATAGAGGAGAGAAGACCAGTGTAACGCCACTTTCATGACGAGTTTATCATCTGTGTTTTGTGTTTCAGCAGATCTGCCGTCTCAGAGCGAAGACTGGCCACACGCTCAGCTCTCCATCATGGCTAACGATGTAAGAAACACACGCTTCACACACAGTATTAGACACCCACACACGTGTGTTTATTGTAGCCCATATTTCCCTGTCCAGACTAGTTGACGGTTATGCTTTACATATCTCGTTTGCATTGAGGTTCACAGGGGAAATGATGTATGATTTGACATCTAACAGCTCAGAGTCATTCCTGCTGGATATTAAGATTAATTCAGCCACTGTAACACATACTGTATGTGCTGATATTTAGGGATGCACCGATATGAAAATAACACAATTTAATGTTATTAAACACAAGCATCCGCAAAGGAACGAACGGCTCATGTTGATGTAATGATTCCAGCAGTTTTGCCGATTATAATCTCAGAGAAGCTCTTTTATAAGATCATAATCTCTCCATCTCTGATCCTCAGGCTGGACTCAAAGAAACGAATGGAGAGATAAAGCTGTTTGTCAACCAGACTCTGAGTCCGGGGAAGCGTGAGTACACCCTGAGCCCAGTGCATGATGGGTAACGGCCGCTGGGGTTCGTAGATCAGCGTCTGTCAGTTACCAGAGAACATACAAGTCTGAGCTCTGGAATAAACATTCACAGCACAATAATCAGGATACAAAACTGTGGTCTAAACATTATTACTGTTAAGAGTCTCGCAGTATAAAGTTACATCCGATGACATCACTGGTCAAAATATTGTTTTAATATCTTTTATCAGGGATACATGAAGTTGATCAAAAGTGACATTTAGTTAAAAATAATGTTTGATGATTTTTCTTAATATGATCTAGCTAGTCGACAGCTACTCAAACTACCGTGTGTGTAAAAAATAATTACATTAATATATGATACTAATATATTATTACAATATAATGCAATTATTGATGTATATATAAGTTTTTAATGCTAATAATGTGATACCACATATACTACTGTTCAAA